TAAGCATATTTTTTTGTATATTTAAAATATGTTTGAATTTTTTTTTTGCCATATGGGTTTACTCTCATAAACTACAAATAAGACAATAGTTAAGACAAAAGATCAGTTCTGCATATTGTCAGTCATAAAACACACCGTCAGCTGATCTGGAGTCAGATGCATGTGTGACTTGTTTCTAAAACAGGATCATCTGGTAATGTGCACGTGAAACTTTTCCTCCAGCTGGAATAACATGGATCTCATCTCATCAGTTTCCTGCAATTGTAAACTGATGCTGCGTGACGGACTGAAGCGCATGGTTTATTCTACCTGCTGCTTTTGTTTGCACATGCACTGCAACGCTTCTGTAAATCATTGTCTGGAGCTGCACAATGTCACTCGCAGAGCAAATGTTTGGGGCTTGACCGACCTTAACAGCTTTCTAAATTTAGTAGTTCGAGAGTCTAAATTTGTACATTTGGGACATAATTTACTTTCGAAATCACAATGAAGATTATTCATTAAACGTCTGCATATCATCTCAGTACAGAAGCCCATTTCTGCCATGGAAATAAATATATATATATATATAAAAAAAAGGTAACTGGAATTTTTTTATCTCACAATTCTGACTTTTTCCTCACAATTCTCAGAAGAAATGTCTGAATTGTAAGATATTGCAACAGAGATGCTGGAGTTTGGTCAGAATCCATGAGCGGAAGTTTATTAAAGGTCAAGGCTTTAAACAGACGTCGATAATCAGGCAGAGGGTCAAAGTCAGAGAAGCAGGCAGATCGTTCGTCATACACAGGGGCAGAGGCAGAGACAATAGTGGAAAGGCAGGCAATGAGTCCAAACACAAACATCAGTACGCTTGGTAAGGCAGATGAACTGGCAATACTTCACGACCAACACATGGACTGGTCTCAGTTTATATGAGAGTCAAACAGGAAATGGAAGTAGAGGAAGCAGAGGGAGTGGAGCACGGTCAGTACTCGGGCGAGGGCTCCCTCTGCTGGCTTGGCGTTACAGATATAAACTTACAACTGCAAGAATAAAAATTGTGAGATAAAAAGTCACAATTACATTTTTTTAAATGTTTTATTCTGAGACAATTGTGAGACAAACTCAGAATTCTGAAAAAGGTCAGAATTGTGATTCGGAACTGCAGGAAAATGAGTCAGAATTCTGAGTTTGGGGGCGGGGGGGGGGTTTAAAGCTAAAAGTCTTTAAGTTGGCAACACTGGCCATGATGAGAGCTGAAGGTCTCAGTCTAACACACGCTGTCTCTCTGTCTGTCTGTAGGTCCAGGCGGCACCCATAGACACTGACTGGGCGGCTGGACTGATCCATCGGGCCAAGCGCTCGTTACTATGGCGATGGAACACTCTGAAACCTGTGGGTTCTGGATGCAGAGATCATTATGAGTGCGGAACCAACTTCTGCAGGTGACCAACATCACCAAACACCAAGAAGCTTCCCAAGAAGCTTCTGAACTAAAGCTTATTGAAAAAAATCATTTAAAAACTGAATACGCATGGTCCTTGTATACTGCATTCTTACATTTTTTTTTATTTAATATTGAAAGTAGATAACTTTGAAAATGGAAAACTTCAAAATTCACTTTTACGTACAGGGGCAGAAAATGGACACACATCTTAAATATTAAATTTCCACGAAAAATACATTTGAAAATTATTTTTTTTCATTTATTTGAAGAAAAAAAACCCAGAAAAAGCGCCATTTTTTAATTTTTCTGTCAATATTGAATGCAGCCAGGCAGTAATACTTTGTTAATTTCTTAATGTTAGTTAACAAGAACTGACAATGAATACTACTTCTACTTCTACAGTATTTAGATTATTATTCTTAATGTTAATTTTAACATTTACTTATACATTTCAGTTTGTTCACATTAGTTAATGCTCTGTGAACTAACATGAACAATGGCATTTTATTAACTAAATTATTATATACATTGTATTATATTGTTAAATAGCCTAATTAAAAAATATAAAAAGTATATAGGCCTATATTTAATTTATATTACATATTAAATCAAAATTTTCTTAACTATACAGGCCTACATTGCTCTTTAGTCCATGTTAGCATTAACTAAAGTGAACAAATGAGAGCTTATTGTAAAGTGTTACGAAATATGCTGGTTATGGAAGTATTTCTGTGAAAAGATTTAGCAGACATGACCATTTAGAATATGAGAAGAGAGCAAACGGGATTTTTAAGAGTTTAAGTCGTTGCACAACGATTTTGTGACATGAGGAGGTCAATTTGAAGTTCACTTTCCTATATTTTTAGCCATCATCTTAAATACTCATATTTAAAAAAAAAAAAAGACTTGTGTAATTTGATCAAACAGGATTAAGGATTAAAACCAACCAACACCACAAAACATGACAGAATTCATCAAATCAATTGATAATACTTACTGATGTTAGATGTTTTCCCGCCAATAACTGAATGACGTCACTTCCTGCTGGAAGATGTCGGAAACATATGAAATATGAACATCCATTCAAACAAAAGTTGATAAATACTCACGTCATTGTGATAAAATATGTTTATCCTTTAAAGGGGCGGGGGGGTTATATTTAGTAGGCAGACATAAAACGAACTACACGTGACTCGAAATTCAAACCCGAATCGTATTTAAAGGTGATTCAAACACTCGATTCGCTTCATTTTGTCAGGTGTGCACAGCGCCTCATAAGGGATTTTTTGGCGCTCTGTGAAACGCGAATTTATTGCTACGTGATTGTGTCGACATAAAAACATCTACATTGTGATTCAATTCGCGAGCGACTCAAAGCCGAATCACATTTGATGATTCAAATTCGATTCGCATCATTTTGTCAGGTGTGTAATATATGGCGCATCACAAGGGATTTTTTTCGCGAATTTATAACGTTATAAATAACATAAACAATCTAATTGTCACTAAATACGCGAGCGATTTGAAAAACTTAATCGCGTTTGAAACGGATTCGAACACTCGATTCGCTTCATTTTGTCAAGTGTGCACAGCGCCTCATAAGGGATTTTTTGGCGCTCTGTGAAACGCGAATTTATCGCGAAATATCGCTACGTGATTGTGTCGACATAAAAACATCTACATTGTGATTCAATTCGTGAGCGACTCAAAGCTGAATCACATTTGATGATTCAAATTAGATTCGCATCATTTTGTCAGGTGTGTAATATATGGCGCATCACAAGGGATTTTTTTCGCGAATTTATAATGCTATAAATAACATAAACGATCTAATTGTCACTAAATACAGCGAGCGATTTGAAAAAACTGAATCACGTTTGAAACGGATTCGAACTCGATTCGCTTCATTTTGTCAAGTGTGAACGGCGCCATAAAGGATTTTTGGCATGCTAAGAAAAGCAAATTTCTCACAAAATATCGCTACGTGATTGTGTCGACATAAAAACATCTACATTGTGATTCAATTTGCGAGCGACTCAAAGCTGAATCACATTTGATGATTCAAACACGTGCTTTGTATCATTTTGTCAGGTGTGTAATATGTATGGCACATCACAAGGGATTTTTCGCGAATTTACCGCCAAATAACGCTATAAATAACATCTACATTGTCACTCAATTCTCGAGCGATTTGAAAAAAACTGAATCGCGTTTGAAATGGATTTGAACTCGATTCGCTTCAGTTTGTCAGGTGTGAACGGCGCCATAAAGGATTTTTGGCGTGTTAAGAAACGCGAATTTCTCGCGAAATATCTCTATATGATTGTATATGGACAACCCTCATCACGAAAAGACTTTCACACAGAAACCTTAAGCTGTAAACACAGATAAGATTTTATCACTAAAAAACACTGACCGCTGCAGGAATCAGCAACTCACACATTTTATATGTACTCTTTTTTTTTTATGAGTGGCATATTTTTATGAGTGCTTCCAAATTAACCTACATACTTTCCCTGTCTTTCAGGAAACACACCTGCTCCTTCAATAAAGCTCAACAGGTGTGACTGAGTCCAAATGATTATGGCACCAATTCAAATGATGGAAAACAAAATGGCTAAAATTGTGCATCCCTTGATTTCTCAAACATCATGACCTACATAAATCTGGCAGAACATTCAAAGACAGCTGACGACTTTAAAATCTACACCAACCTCAAGACTGTATTCAGGTGAATCTCACCAAGAAATGTCCAGGTCATATTAAACTCCAACATCAGAAGCATTTTTGGCCTGAAATATGACCTGGTGTGTTTTTGACATATTCCCCCCTTCAGAAAACACTCAGGAACATATCTACAAGAACTCCAGTTTCATCATCGATGTTTTATAGTTGTACAGATCTTGATAATGTGTAAAATATTAACTTTGCATCTATAGTTTCTGATTCAGATTCAATGAGGCCGAGATGTTTGATCTGATAAAATACAAACACGCATGGCAAAAGAATCTGTAGCAAATGTATTTCATTATCAGCTGCAGCTTCCAGATGAACTTTTATTTATTTTGTAAATATCAGACACATGAGATGGTGTAACATGCTTTTTTGTTAAAATGTTTTATTGTTTGTCTCATTTGATTTTTTTTTGTTACATTGATAGTGCAATATTTTTTTTAAGGAAAACAAACAAAAATGCTCGCATGATGAAATAAATGCATAAAAAAATGAATTTTAAAAATTGAATCAATCACGAACATCCTTTTTTAAACCTAAAACTGTTTGTTTTCAGCAAACATCATCGCTGGGTCCTAATTCATGAACACACAATTGACATTATCATTTCACAATCATCATAATTATGAGATTTAATCAATATTTCCACCCTGGAATAAGTGCATTTACATTCAAGCTGAAGTGAAACTGATATCAGACCACAGTTTCAGATCAAACCCACAGGCATTATGTTCACTTCACCGAAATGATCAAAGCCTCAAATCTTACCTTTTCAAACTTAAAAAACCCCAAACACCTACAAGAATAAAACATGAAATGAATCAGGCAGGACATGAGGTTTAATAAACATAAACAAAAATAAAAACTAGCCATCCCTGACAGATCAGTGCATGTAAATGAGCTAAACGAACACTGAATATGTTTGTGATAATGAAACATTCAAGCTGAATCTTCTCAATGCTGTGGTAATACTGTGCTGGAGAAACCATGAAACTCTTTATACTGCATATATAACACAGAACACAGAAAGCAAGGCTGTTATTCTAGAGTTTAAATCAGTGATTACAGTCAATTTATTGTAGTCATATGTCAGAAATATTGTAAAAGTGTTATTAATTGACTCTAAAAACATTATTGAGCCAATGTTCCATCAAAATCTTGGTTTGCATCTAAGAAAACATGGCAGAGGAGAAAACAAGTGCAAATACAAACCAAGTCATTTGGTCATTTTAAACATGTATTTAGTGATTTAAAATGCATGTGGCAACATTATTGACTGTCAGACTCGTGAGAAGCAGACTAAAACTTACATAATTATTGAAATCAGCATGAATTAGCACCGCTGTCAGTTTATTTGCCAGATGCGCTCATTGCAGTTGCATAAGTGTATTAATATAGTTGTGATGTATCTCGAGCGGTGATGTGTAATGTGTTGCATCACGTCTGCCGTCACTCTATTAGTGTTTTCTGATGTAATTGCAGTTTTTGGACATAAAACTCATTGGCTAATTTGGACACGCCTGCACTATTTGGTTCTGTGATGATCAGTTGTCTAAAGTATTGCATTAAATGCATTAAAAAAACACGTTTGCAAGTTCCGACGGCCAGGTGACCTGAGACAAACTTTGCACTTTGAGTCGTCTGCCGCATACACCGATGCTCCTTGAACCTAATCAGGACTTGTGAAAATGAAATCAAGCTCAATGTCTAAACGCATGTTAGTTCATCATGACGTCCGGGGAGTTTACGATGAAAGCAGGGGCTGCTGCTCGGAGCTCTGAGACAAAAAAAAGTTAGGAAAAGACATTAATAAACAGCAAATGCAGTAACAATCAGCATTGCATTTAGCCTTAATGGAGAAATGCAATCACAGAATGCATTGCATTGGAAAAAGTTACTAAAACTGGACAATTTTATGCAATATTTATGTGTGCTGTGTGAAACAAATGTGACTCAAATGTGTGCGCTTCATGTGCTATATGTATGAGGAATTATGGCTGATTATGTAGAACGCTCAAAATCTATCACTTTTTTTTTGTGCCCTATACAGTGCCCTCCACTAATATCGGCACCCTTGGTAAATATAAGCAAAGGCGGCTGTGAAAATAAATCTGCATTGTTTATCTTTTTAATCTTTCATTCAAAAAATTCACAAAATTCTAACCTTTCATTGAAGTCAAACAATGGAAAGTGGAGGGAAAATCTCATTATGAAATAAATGTTTTTCTCCAATGCATGTTGGCCACAATTATTGGCACCCCTAGAAATTCTTATGAGTAAAATAACTCTGAAGTATATTCCAATTCATATTTAATTTTTTTTAGCACACCAGAGTGACTAGGAGCGTGAAATTGTCCAGCCATGACTTCCTGTTCCACAGTATTATAAATATGAGGAACACAAACGACAAATTCCCTTAATCATCCATCAGAAGTTTTAGTGAAGAAAGTGATGTGTGAGCCTCACCGCTGGCGTCTGCTGGCGGCACATGAACACGATGAAGATGACGCCCAGTAAGATGCCCACACTGATCACTATGAAGGGGATGTTGACGATCACATTAGCCTTGGTAACCACCGCGTACAGCTTCTTGGCAGATTCCTCGTCAATAACGATGCTCTGGAAAACAGGATAGCAGCGTTTAGAAGATAAGAAGAGACAGAAATGAAGAAAAACACTCTCGTATTTCCTGCTCAGTCCCTTTGAGTTCTGCTGGATGTCCTGTCTGATAATGTGAACTCAAAAGAACTGCTTTAGAGTTAAGATCTCATTCGATCTTTTTCATTTAGTGCACTTTTATACAGAAAAACAATCATCTAATCATCTAATGCTGAGACTGGTTTATCTCTTTAACTGCGTCCCAAATGACACACTATACACTCATACACTATCTACTTATGCACCATGTACTCAACCATGTATTGTATGAATTATATAAGGTTATTTTGTCATTCATAATCGGAGTCTGATAGCCCCTCCCCCTTCGATGCGTAAAAAATACGGTACGTTTTTTTTTTAATATGAGCCAAGCTGATGCAACCACATCTCTCTCATTTACTCTTTCATGGCTTGTGTCATTCAAAGGTTAATATTATTTGCATCATGTTTGGACACGTTATCTGTTGCACCCTTCACCTAATTTTGCTTGATCCGTCTGGACTGCAGCAATAATCAGAGTTCAAATCAGCTAAGAAGCTTTACAGGAAATCATGATGCTCATGTTTATAATATCTTAATATCTTCATGCCTTATAGTTGCATTTAGCAAATTCGAGCTGGATGATAATAGTTAAATGTTGTGACGATATATAAATTATATATAGCTGAGGTTTGCTATATAGTATACTGTATATGGCTTTATGAGAGTGAAAGTGAAGTTTTTTAGTTCATTTCAGTTCAACTATTTGAACACGACAGTAACACATGTTTTGACACGTAGACAACCCTGACATGCTATAAAAGCCTTGTAGAAAGATAATGATGATGATTTTCTAAAACTTTACCTCATTAAGGTACATCACTGGAAACACCAGCGTCTGGATCTTCTCAGTTTGACTGCAAAATAAAAAAGAAAATATGATTCTGATAGTATGTGATGATGTTAAGACCAGGTTTATTACAGTTAACTAAAATGGTAAAAAAAAATAAAATAATGTGTTGCTTGAAATAAAATCTAAAGAAAAAAACCCTTAAAGAAATCTTATTTTATTTCTGCTAGTTGCAACATTTCTTATTTTTGTTTAAAGTTGGGGTAAAATATCTGAATTAAAAAAAAAAACATATAGATATATTAAAAAAATTTTTTTTAAATAAAAACAAATTACTAACATTTAACTGTAACTAAAATTAAAGTGAAACCAAAAAACTAAATATAAAAATAAAATCTATGATTTACACCCATCAACAAAGGTTTGAGATGAGCGCAATATTTATAAAATAAAATATAGAAATAAATAAAATTAAAAAACTAACTTATTTTAATTTTATTTCAGCTAGCTGCTATGGCAGCATTTCTTATTTTTGTTTAGTTTAACTTGAATTACTAAAATAACTACTGCAAAACTAAATAAACTAAAATTATATATATAAAAATAATAAAAATGACAAAAAAACACAACAAAATGACTACAAATAACAAAAATTAAAGTGAAAACAGCAAATACAAAAATAAATCTGTAACGGTTTATCAATGATCCATAGACACATCAGCATTGGTTGAGGTTTGGGACGAATGCAAACAGACACACATCTCTTCAAGAAGAAGCCTCTCAGACGCACGCTATCAGATGAATGGGACTGTGGGAAGTCAGCTCAGTTGTAACATTTCTTATTTTTGTTTAAAGTTGGGGTAAAATATCTGAATAAAAAAAAAAACATATAGATATATTAAAAAAAATTTTTTTAAATAAAAACAAATTACTAACATTTAACTATAACTAAAATTAAAGTGAAACCAAAAAACTAAATATAAAAATAAAATCTATGATTTACACCCATCAACAAAGGTTTGAGATGAGCGCAATATTTATAAAATAAAATATAGAAATAAATAAAATTAAAAAACTAACTTATTTTAATTTTATTTCAGCTAGCTGCTATGGCAGCATTTCTTATTTTTGTTTAGTTTAACTTGAATTACTAAAATAACTACTGCAAAACTAAATAAACTAAAATTATATATATAAAAATAATAAAAATGACAAAAAAACACAACAAAATGACTACAAATAACAAAAATTAAAGTGAAAACAGCAAATACAAAAATAAATCTGTAACGGTTTATCAATGATCCATAGACACATCAGCATTGGTTGAGGTTTGGGACGAATGCAAACAGACACACATCTCTTCAAGAAGAAGCCTCTCAGACGCACGCTATCAGATGAATGGGACTGTGGGAAGTCAGCTCACATGCGTTTTCTGCATGTTTTACATTCACATGCTCATGAGGAGGATTTATCTGCGCTCTCAGATAGATCGCATTTCAAAACCAAGCCAACAAGCTGTCGGCTCAAGTGGAACGTTCGGCAGCATTGGGTCTTCGGTCACGTCATTGGACCACCTGACCCCCAAACAAACTCTGAAACTGATCCGCTCGCTTCACATCCTAAAATTCCACCTAATCCACCCCCATTCCACCTAAAATAACTCAATCACGCAGCTGTCAATCATTACAGCTGGACTGACCTACTTCAGGTCATGGTTCAGGAGAGACTTACGTAATGAGCTCATGTAAGCCTACAGCGGACTCAATCAGAAGTAGCTCTGGAGTTTCAGGCCTAAAAATATTCCATCTGTGGTCAATTTTACATTAATGACATCAAACTATCTGCATTTGACAGTGAAAGAGAGTCAATCAAATTAAATGCATCAAAACCAATTAACTGGAGAACAACAGTCTTCAAACGACAAGTTAAAGAAAGTGAAATGACATTTCTGGTAAGTCCACAAAAAACCCCCACAAATGCTAAAACCTGTGTTCAAACTGTGCTATATTAGACAATAAACACACAAATCACACCACAAACTGTGTACATAGAGTGGCTATAAAAATGGCAGGTTTTGGAGAAATAAAAAATGTATCCAAGATAAATCATGTCAGATATTTTTCCACCTGTAATGCAATATTGAAACCAACAAAATTCATGTATCAAACAAATAGAAACTTTCTTATCTTTCTAAAATGTGTTTTTTTTACTTGAATTTTGTTGGTTTCAATATCACATTAAAGGTGGAAAAAGATCTGGACTATCTCAAAAACCTGCAACTTTAACAGGGGTGTGTGTGGCCACTTTATTTCTAGATCTTTCTGTTTTCTGAAAGAAATGTTAGCAGTCCGTGCTAAACTAAGTCGGGCCACCTGAGAGACTCGTCCTCACCTGAACGCTGGGATCTGATGCAGGTAGACGTTCACCTGAACACGCTTCGCACCCCGAAGCAACAGTCCAGTGAGCTGAGAACACAAACACACAAAATCAACATCAATGCAAAAACAGCTACTGAGTGACTGCTGGCTAACATTATCGATTCACGAACCCCTGGGGCTTTGTGAGATGATCAATATGCACACTATTCTCATACATATATGATACATATATACTCATATACACACACTATATGCACACTATACTCATTATATACACACTATACTCATATACACACACTATATGCAAACTATACCCATTATATACACACACTATATGCACACTATACTCATTATATACACACTATATGCACACTATACTCATATACACACACTATACGCAAACTATACCCATTATATACACACACTATACTCATTATATACACACTATATGCACACTATACTCATATACACACACACACTACACTCATTATATGCACACTATATGCAGACTATACTTATTATATACACGCTATATGCACACTATACTTATTATATACACACTATATGCACATATATGCACACTATATTCACACTATACTCATTATATGCACACTATATGCAGACTATTCTCATTATATACACACTATATGCACACTATACTTATTATATACACACTATATGCACAATATACTCATATACACACACTAAACTCATTATATACACACACTATACTCATTATATGCACACTATATTCACACTATACTCATTATATGCACACTATATGCACACTATACTCATTATATGCACACTATACTCATTATATACACACTATATGCACACTATACTCATATACACACACTATACTCATTATATGCACACTATATGCAGACTATACTCATTGTATACACACTATATGCACACTATACTTATTATATACACACTATATGCACAATATACTCATATACACACACTAAACTCATTATATACACACTATACTCATTATATGCACACTATATTCACACTATACTCATTATATGCACACTATATGCAGACTATACTCATTATATACACTATATGCACACTATACTTATTATATACACACTATATGCACACTATACTCATATACACACACTATACTCATTATATGCACACTATACTCATTATATACACACTATATGCACACTATACTCATTTTATGCACATTATATGCACATAATACTCATTATATGCACACTATACTCATTATATACACACGATACTCATTATATGAACACTATATGAACAATATACTCATTATATACACACTATATGCACACTATACTCATATGCACACTATATGCACACTATACTCATTATATACACACTATATACACACTATACTCATATGCACACTATATGCACACTATACTCATTATATACACACTATACTCATTTTATGCACATTATATGCACACTATACTCATTATATACACACTACACATTATATACACACTATATGCACACTATACTCATTTTATGCACATTATATGCACATTATACTCATTATATACACACTATATACACACTATTCTCATGTACACACACTATACTCATTATATGCACACTATACTCATTCTATACACACTATATGCACACTATACTCATTTTATGCACATTATATGCACATAATACTCATTATATGCACACTATACTCATTCTATACACACTATATGCACACTATACTCATTTTATGCACATTATATGCACATAATACTCATTATATGCACACTATACTCATTATATACACACGAAACTCATTATATGAACACAATATGAACAATATACTCATTATATACACAATATATGCACACTATACTCATTATATACACACTATACTACAAGTTAAATTAGGGGTTTTCAAATGTTTTGGACTATATGCAGAATTGTTTTTTCTTACTGTTAAAAACAAGTGCTATCAGTAGTATAAAACAATCACAAATTATCTCAAAACAAAACATAAAATTAAAATAAAACAAACTAAAAATGAATAAAATCATAACAGTGTACAATTTAGATAACTTACATTTACTAACTTATATTAGAAAACTGAAAAATGTGAATGTGAATGATCGAAATATTAACTTAAAATCTCAGGGGGGCTTCAAGAAAATATTTTAGCTTTAAAGGGTTCAGCTGATGGAAAAATTCCCTATTAAATGTTCCCTATCCCTACTAAAACAAACATATTTTTTCTTTAGATTATCATATGCTGATGAATTATTCACAAGACCAGGAGCATGCATGAAGAAAGTAAATAGAGTTTATTTTTATTTAATGTAAACTTAAGTTAAACAAAACTTTAAAACGGTGTTAGATTGGCTTTTACAAAATAGATATTTCCTGGTTGGATTCTGAAGTGAAAAGTATGTTAACACTCAAACATATTAGCTTATCTAAGAATGAATCCAGAGCGGTGTGTGTGTGTGTCCTACAGAACATCTGCAACCCATTTAAAGCTCAAACACAAAAATGATGGGAACCGACATGAGAAAACATTGCATAAAGCACCACACACCTTCCTAGCAACAGACAAGATTCCTGTCAGATGCACATAACAAAAGCCTGACTCTAACCTCTATCCTTCAGTAGAAATCAAATACATTAACAATATATATCATTCAGTACCATGGTACGTGGTGGAATTACCATCTGATACCGTTACTGTAGCACAGTTTTATAAGGTAGAACGAGCACCTGAATCTGTTCCAACACCATATACAAACACCATAAAACACACACCCACAGTAAACTTTATCCTGCTGATCCGTGTAGATCCCTATCCCGCAGCGAAAGCACTTATCAAACACACATGTGCAGTTATTTAACATGCTCCTGGAAGAAACTAGTGCTCAAATAAATGAAAAAATGTTTGATTTTATCAAATGTCTGCAGTCTTTTGGGTTTGTAGAAACTCTTTGATTGTAAACTAAACAAACATCCACCACACAAAATAACCAAAACAGCCACCGGTTGAATTACTAACTACCTGCTGGGAAGTGGGACGCGTCTGGACTAGCTGGGAAATCAGATAACATCATCCTGACATCACCTGCTTTATCAGAGAGTGACTCAGACACAAGCGTAAAATGTGTGTTTGTTCTGTCAGTAAATAATGAAATACAGATGCTGTTATTCATTCATTCACTCGCTCTGGATCTGTAGTATTGCAATCAGCCAGAAACCTGAGTTTTATAATGAGACTGCATCAATAGTACTGCAGACCTGAAGCTGAGTGTAGTGCGCTGACGCCCTCTTATGGCAGTGCAGATAAATACACACTATACATTATTTACACAGTATACTCATTATATACACACTATATACATTATATACACACTATAGTCCTTATATGCACACTATATACATTATTTACACAATATACTCATTATATTCACACTATATAAAGACTATACTCATATACACATTACAGGCACACTACTTATTATCTACTCATTATATACACACACTATACTCATTATCTGCACACTATACTCATATACAAACTATACTCATTATACGTACACTATATACATTATAGACACACTATACACATTATATGCCCACTATACTCATTATTTACACGTTATACTCATATGCACATGCACACTATACTCATTATACGTACACTATATACATTATAGACACACTATACACATTATATGCACACTATACTCATTATTTACACGTTATACTCAGTATATACATGCTATACTCATTATATGCACACTATACTCATTATATACACGCTATACTCATTATTTACACGTTATACTCATTATATACATGCTATACTCATTATATGCACACTATACTCATTATATACACGCTATACTCATTATATACACGCTATACTCATTATACGTACACTACATACATTATAGACACGCTATACTCATTATATGCACACTATACTCATTATACTGTATACACGCTATACTCATTATATGCACACTATACTCATTATACTGTATACACGCTATACTCATTATATGCACACTATACTCATTATACTGTATACACGCTATACTCATTATATGCACACTATACTCATTATATGCACGCTATATGCACACTATACTCATTTTATGCAATTATAGACACGCTTTACACATTATATGCACACTATACTCATATACACGCTATACTCATTATATACACGCTATACTCATTATACGTACACTACATACATTATAGACACACTTTACACATTATATGCACACTATACTCATATACACGCTATACTCATTATATGCACACTATACTCATTATATACACGCTATACTCATTATATACACGCTATACTCATTATATACATGCTATACTCATTCTATACAAGCTATACTAATTATACGTACACTATACTCATTATATACATGTTATACTCATTATATACACGCTATACTCATATGCACACTATACTCTAAGCTAAATCAAATGACTCTAAACGTTTATAAAATATGAAGGCATCTATATATTTTCATGAAAATTAAAAATTCTGAAAAAAAAACATTTAATGTAATATTGTAAAGACAATTTATTAAATCAATTATTTCTGAAATTAAATAACTGACTTATATAGTGTCACTGTACTAACGCAAATTACTAAAATACTATCCGAAAAATATTTTCTTTTATTAAGATAATAATGTATCTGTGATGAATACTTAAAACATTTTTTCTTTTTTTTTTCTTAGAATTTTTTTTTTCTTTTCACAAAACCATATACATTACCGATTAGTCTTTAGAAAGTAGAATGTTGTATGTAGTTGTAATATAATCAAAGCATATATTACATACATATGTGACCCTGCAGCACAAAAGCAGTCTTAAGTCGCTGGGGTATATTTGTAGCAATAGCCAACAATACATTTTCCATGAAGATATTTTGTAAATTTCCTACTGTAAATATATTAAAAACTTAATTTTTGATTAGTAATATGCATTGCTAAGAACTTAATGTGAACAACTTTAAAGATGATTTTCTCAATATTTAGATTTTTTTGCACCCTCAGATTCTAGATTTTCAAATAGTTGCATCTCAGCCAAATATTGTCCTAACAAACCATACATCAATGGAAAGCTTATTTATTCAGTTTTCAGATTATAATCTGATCTGTATTATATTATAATCTGTATAAAAATTGACCCTTATGACTGGTTTTGTGGTCCAGGGTCACATATAGGAAAAAGGGGTCCAACAAAAAAGTTTGGGAAACCTTGGCTTTTGCAAAATAGATATTTCTTGACTGGATTCTCATCACCGGTTGTTTTGAACCGTGTAGCTGTGACGATGGATGGAAACTGAAAGTGTGTCAATCACTAATGTACTAATGAACTTCCACTTCCTTGTTAATCTGTGTTATCATCTGAACCTGCAACCGCAACGAGTGACACACAATGAGATATTAGTTTTGCTCGTTTTAGATTGTAGCTCCACCTACAGTGAAATCTCATCTGTCCAAAATCACCAATGAGATGTGCTTGTCACATCTGAATACGACAGAGTTCTGTTGTCTGATGCTTGAAGATTATGTACAATGACACAAATGCATGTTACGCAGGTGTATATTTATCAACTGAGAGGATCATTTACTCTTTTATCACTGCTAATGTTAGATAAACAGGTGATTCTGGGTGCAGAGAGAATGTCTGCACAATAAAGAGTCACATGATTGCCATTATGTTGCACTTTTCCAAATAGTGAGTTGGAAATTCTCTACTTGGAAACATGCAAGTGCATGAAAAAGCATAACCATCAAATGTATTCTGACTGGCTGTGATATTACAGCTTCATGCAGCATTTTGCTTTCAGTGAGGAGAATAAAATGTGTTTCTGGTCAACTGGTCAAGACCTTTCCAGCAGGTTTATATGTGATTAGACAGACATACCGGGTTGACGTCAATGACCGTCTCATGCTCCTCCTTGTTGGGATTCATCCCGAGCACATCCTGGACGAATTTGTTGTCTGCCTGGTAGAAATGAGGGGAGGACATGATGATGGGCGCACCTGAGAGGAGACACACATGTTAGCGGGACGTCCCGGCGTCTGTACGGTGACAAACAGCATTCAGACTCTCACTGACCTTCTTTGCAGACGCTGGCGTTGAGGAGGCCGGAGCCGAGACAGTTCCCAGCCGGCACGCAGAAGCCTGCGTTATCTGGGTTAATCGTAAGATTAGCGAAAACCTCGCTGGGTGGGACAAAACGGAAACCGGGAACCCCTCGTACGCTCACGTCAGACTCGTACTGGGCATATATAGACCTGTCAACACAAACATGCATAAAACACACACTGATATTACACACTGATTTAATTAGGACTGATTGTCTTCTGATACATTTGAGTAAAACAAGCAATCCGATTCTGAAAAGCAGATTTGTGTACTTCTCAGATTTAACCATTAATCAAATGGTTCTGGCTGAAGAATGGTTTCTTTTACTGTGATGTAACATGTTTTTAGGTTTGACAATCACTTCAGTGAACTGCTGAATAGTTTTGCTTGTTTGGAGGCCTGATTTAGACCTAAATAAACATCCACAGAGAGCAGCATGACGAATCACACATACAGTATGTGATTTGAAGCAAAAAACACTCTTTTAGGAAAAGCGCTTGGTCACACATAAGCGTTTTCTGATACTGATAACGCACCCAATTCAGACCCAATATGATCAGTACTGAATCAATAAGAGCAATTCTAAACTAAACCTTAAATCAGTGACTCAGGAACTATTATTATCACTTTTTGAACACACAAAATAAAAATGACCATAATAAAATACGTCTATTCTTATTCATGCAAATTGATAAAATATTTTTTTTAAAGATAATAAAGTTAATATTACCATATATTAATAATGTAAGATTATACATACATCATATAGTAACATTCATCAAATTATCATAACATACAGTATTGTTCAAAAGGTTCAGCAAGATCAAGAAAAAATAATTTTTTGCTCATCAAGGCTGCATTTATTTGATCAAAAATATAGTAAAAACAGTTAAATATTTTTACAATATAAAATAACTGTTTTCTATGTGAATATCTGGTGAAATGTAATTTATTTCTGTGATCAAAGCTGTATTTTCAGCATCATTACTCCAGTCTTCAGTGTCACATGATCTTCAGAAATCATTCTAATATGCTGATTTGCTGCTCAAGAAACATTTCTGATTATTATCAATGTTGAAAACAATGTCGTGCTGCACAATATTTTTGTGGAAACTGTGATACATTTTATTTTTCAGGATTGAAAAGAAAGTTCAAAAGAACATTATAAATGTCTTTATTGCCACTTTTGATCAATTTAATGCATCCTTGCCTTTTTTTAAGTGAAATTCAGATCCGTTAGCAGCACAGAACAGTGCATTTAAATGGTCTCACCTGCACAGATCAGAAGAGAATATATAGAGTTTCTCTGTTTTTGTGATGATCGGATGGAAAGACGCTCCATCGGTGCCGTTGATCATATTACACTCTTTTGTACTCCACCAGTTCAATGTACTGACAAAGAGAACAAATAATCCATAATTCAAACTTCTCTGAGCACATGCTGATTGTGCAGCTCCTTCTAAATCCATTCATTAATCTTCTAGAGATAAAACGAGACGGTGAGTTTTCTGCTGATTTTACCTCTGTCCGTTCCACTCGTCTATACGAGCAAAGTCCTGATAATTCTGCTTCCCCGTGAAGAAAATATAATCACCGTCATCGGTGCTATTTTTCTGAAACACAGTCATTGACATGAGAATGAAACACATGTACAAAAAGACAATTAACAGACGTGCGTTGAACTGATCATATGAACCATCGACTGGCATTGAAACTTCAACAGCTGATGCAGATCATTTTTTAATGTTTTTGAAAAGTCTCTCTTCTGCTCACCAAGGCTGCATTTATTTGATCAAATCCAGTAATACTGTGAAATATTATTGCAATTTAAAACAGCTGTTTTCTAAGTGAATCTCTGTTAGACTGTTGTGCTGCCCAATATTTCTGTAGAAACTGTGATACATTTTATTTTTCAGGATTCACAGATGAATAGAAAGTTCAAAAGAACAGCATTTATTTGAAATCGAAATCTTTTGTAACATTATAAATGCATTTACAGTCACTACTGATCATTTTAATCATTTAATAATCATTGATCATTTTTTTCTGAAGCTGAATCTAATAATCAGCCAAAGTGACTGATGCCACAAACCTCAAATGTGACCCTGGAGCACAAAAGCAGTCTTAAGTCGCTGGGGTATATTTGTAGCAATAGCCAACAATACATTGTATGGGTCAAAATTATAGATTTTTTTTATGCCAAAAATCATTAGGATATTAAGTAATGATCATGTTCCATGAAGATATTTTGCAAATTTCCTACAATAAATATATCATATATCATCATTTGTGATTAGTAATATGCATTGCCAAGAACTTCATTTGAACAACTTTAAAGATGATTTTCTCAATATTTAGATTTTTTTGCACATGATGATTCACAAACAAGACGCATGATTTGAATCATTCATGTCTGAAGCACAAGCACTGCAAAATGACTCAGCTTTAGTATTTAGTGTCAGGGGTTTGATCACATTAAGCACTAGTGATGATTGACACCAGTGCTGCTAACCTTGAAGAAAAGTCCAAAGTGGTCATCCGACACAAACTGTTTGAGTTCTTTGAGCAGTGGATCTTCATAACCCCACAGCAGGTCACCGACTCTGAACGTCCTGAACATGCCGATGCCCTTTGCTTTCATCACGTCAGAGATGATGCGACTGACCAAGAGGGTATCTTTGAATTTCTCCATCGCGGTCTGAAGTCAAAAATAAACACATAAACTTTGAATAGTCTCTTCTCAGACTTCATTTCTTTATGCAACACATAATTTCTTATTTAGATTTTAGGGTGAAATGTGACATGCTTTCATGAGATTCACCCATTTAACATCTCACTTGCCAGTGGTTTTAGTAGGTCAGAGATCACAATCTCACCACAACAGGGATGTCGACCGTTCGGACGATGTCCTCCTCAGATCCCCGTGACATGTTGGGCTCAAACACGTATGTCTTTGGATTGACAGCCGCCACTCTGGTTCCGTTGTCCATAAATTTCACTTCCTCCTTCGGCCGATACTCCCTGAATGAGGAAACGCCCATGTGGTTCTTATTGACTTATGGAAATAACATTGACAAAACAACAGATCATGTGATTCAGGATAAATAAATACTAAGGTCTGAAGCACTAAGGCGTTACGTGGTTTTAAAGAGCACAGAGCATCTGATGTGTCGTCAAACTTGTGCAAGAGAAAAGTGCAGCAAAAAGTGGTTTGATGTAGTTTAAAAAGCTTGAAGTTTTGAAGCAGTTTAAAGTTTGAAACAGTTTTAAAAGCAATTTTAAGGTTGAAGAAGTTTTAACAGCAGTTTTAAGTTTGAAACCATTTCGAAAGCAGTTTTAAGTTTAAAGCAGTTTGAAGCAGTTTTTGAAAGCAATTTTAAGTTTGAAGCAGTTTTAAAAAAAAGTTTTAAGTTTTAAAAGCTTAAAGTTTAATGCAGTTTTAAGTCTGAAGCCGTTTTAAAAACTTGAAGTTTGAAGCAGTTTTAAGTTTGAAGCAGTTTTTGAACGCAGTTTTAAGTTTTAAAAGCTTGAAGTTTGAAACAGTTTTAAGTTTGAAGCAGTTTTAAAAGCTTGAAGTTTAAAGCAGTTTTAAGTCTCTTAGACAGATTGCTGTGGTTTCAAGGGTTTTCTTTGTGGCTTCAGATAAACAAATATAGAAGCCCTAAAGTGTTCCATGGTTTTCAGGAACACAGAACATCTGATGTGTCGTCAAGAGAAAGCTTCAGCAAAAACACAGTCATGTGAATTGCTTTCCCGTCCGTCACACATCGAGAGGACAACATGACGAGCATGTTTTTAGCGGCATCACTGACCTGTACGTGTACGGGCCGATCTGCAGGACGAAGGGTTTGTCTCCTTCCAGAACCTCTGCAGGATTGGTCAGATTAAAGAAGTAAAACTGCATGTAAACCGGCGGCGGTGGGTCTCGCCACACCGAAAATGCCTCCGTTCCATTTTCCAGAACTACTTGCTGTAAGGGAAAGTGAATTGTGGATAGAAATGACCAAAGTTATATTTACAAACTCATAGTTTCTAAAACAATTTAGGAAGAGAAACACATAAAAAAACACATAAACTTCATAATATCATATCCTACTCAAAGTGTACATTTATAAAAATCTGTGCAAATGACAATAACAATAATAAAAATAATAACAATAACAATAAAAAAAAAAGTGTTTTCTGGACATGGTATCATTAAATAATTTCTCTCCTTGAAGAAGCATATGGCATATGAATATGATATTAATTAAATACCATAGTATCAGTTGATACCATCATATTAGTTTATATAAAGCGGTTTAATTATGTCAATATTCTTTTAAACAATCTTTAATCTAAACTCAGTCTTAAATAATATTAAGGCTGGTTATAATAAAAATACCATATTTTGAACATATACCATAGCATTTCCACAAAAATATCATGTAAATATCATGGTGAATGAATATGGAGTATATTAACATTTCATAATATTAGAATTGTGATATCATGATGCTAATATTATGTGAATTGAGAATACTACTTCTACTACTACTAATAATAATGCTTGATTTATGCAATATTATTATATAATATAATACAGTAAAACATATGTTATAATACATACTATAATACTACATATATGTTTGATTATAATAAAGCATCATAACATTTAATCTGTAATCTAAACTGTATAAAAATACATTTCAAAATTAGGCTAGAAAATTATTTTGAACATGTACCATGGCATTCCCATAAATAGAGCGTAAATAAAACGCAAAAAAAAAAAAAATGGTAAATGATTATGGTGTACATTAATGTTTCATAATATTACAATCATGGTATCATGATGGTAATATTATATGAGTTGAAAATAATAATAATAATAATAATGTTTCATTTATATAATATTATATATGTTATTCTAACATAATAAATTATATTACATTATAATACATGCTACAATTTACATATATATTTGTTACTAATACAAAACATTATATAGTATAATCTTTAAACTGTATAAAATGAAATTTCATAATAATGCTAGAAAAAATATTTTGAACATGTGCCATGGCAAATGAATATGGTGTATATTAAGGGTTCATAATATTATGTGAGGAGAATAATAATAATAGTTATAATAATATTATACAATATACTAAGACATTATAATCTCTCTGCTGCATATAGACAAACTACACATAGACAGTCACAGCATATGATGAACACAATATAAATATGATATGAAAAACACACTCACTGACCTCTTTTATTGTGTTGTTTATGAGCTTCTGGAAGACCTGCGCCAAAGCCATCGCAATCCCGGCGATTAACAGCAGAACGCAGAGGATCCCTGCGCCGTAAACACAGCAGGACCGGAGCAGCATGATCCGGTTCGGTTCGGACAGAGAAGGACAAAGACACAGCAGCTGAACTGGACTGGGAGTGTTTACATGCGTCAGGAACTGCGCAGCACACAGTGTGAGAAACAAAACACTGAGATAGACGCAGAGCGCTTTTTTTCCTGCAGGGGGCGCTCGACGGCTCGCTCAGACGATCCTCCATAGAAACCCATTCAAAACACACGACCGGTTTCGTCTTATTAGAACGCGTGTATACTCTGGAAAGTGTAATCATTTAAAAATATGAATGCAAAAGATTATTACATGTCATGCAAAAGAAAATACGCTATTGCATTCTATTCAAAAAATACGTATATTAACGCTGTAACCAGACAGCGCTGAGAAAAGTAACGGGTATCACGTGACAGCGCGGTAAACGGAATCAATAAATTACACTCGAATAATACATTTTATGACTTTTAAATGTGCAAATACATAGTAAAGAATTAAAACAGCTATTATTATAAATGATTACTGATACAGTGAACCTAGTCGATTTGCGACACGCCCATATTGAGGCGTGTTTACCATCTTATATTATTTTATTTCTACCGAGAAATTAAAGAGCCGTCGCCCACTCATGAGTCATGAACTTCTATAACATTATTCCTTCATGTATGACCTGTGGATGTTCACGAGAAGCCTCACTCATTAGTTTCGTTTCGACAGAAGCCTCACTCATTAGTCTCCACATCCACCTGAATTACTGTAACGTAAATCAATTTTAACCACCGCTTTCCTGTCAAATATACATGTTGTCTGTAGGAGATAAATCAATCATTTCGGGTTGTTTCCAAAATCCAGACCAGGCTGATATAGTTTGAGTGGAGCAGCTAATGAGCGTAGAACATTTTGAGGTCATGTGACCCGATGCGCATGCGCAGTTCGCATGAGCTTGTCTGAGTGGAGCAGCTAGCGAGCATAGAACATGTAGAGAAGGTCGCGTGACTCGGTGCGCATGCGCAGAGCCGCTGGCGGTTGTCTGAGTGACTTCAGTTTTGTGTTGGATGTTGTGCAGACGTGTGTTTGTACGGATTCTTCGAATCTAATCACCTTTACTTTAATTTAACTTAACTTTCTGTTCGTGATCTGCGCTGGATTCATCAGGTGAGTTTCTGTTCTGTAAATCCACCTGCGATGTAGTAAAGTGAGCTAAAACCGATTCAAAACATTCGCCGTCGAGTTCATAGTTATAGAAATGGCCTGCAACTTTTACACGTACTTTCATTGGTTGAAAATTATTATTTTTATTATTAATATTTTTATTATTTCATTATTTTTGTATTGCTATTTTCATAGCTAGAAATGTGATGCAACTTTTATACATTATATATTTTATACATTGGTCAAACATATGAACTTAATGGTGTTAAAGATTTTAATAATCTTACTAAGCTATTAAATCTTGGTTATAATTAGTTAATGCAATTTTTTAGATGCTACAGACCCCAAAATATGATCATCCCATTCTAAAATTTAAAAGACAGCTATGTATTTTAATGTATAAATAATACCTAATTATACTGCGGAAATTAATATTATAGATATGTGTAAAATATTATTTGGAAAATATTTAGTTTTTACTACTTTACATTCTATTAATTATAATACTGTACTGGTAGGTGGATTATTTCGTTATTTTTTTATTTATTTTAATCAATTTTTAAATTTGTTTTAATACATTTATTTATTTAGATTAAGCTTATTTTTTATTTATTTATTCTTACTATTTTTGTTTCATTGTTTTTATTATTACTAGAAATTTCATGCAACTTTTAAACATTCATTTGTTGACTTTTTTTTATTATTACTCTTTTTTTTATTATTACAAATGTCATGCAACTTTTATACATGCTTTCATTTGTTGCTTTTTTTTTATTATTATTATTATTACAAATGTCATGCAACTATTATACATGCTTTCATTTGTTGCTTTTTTTTATTATTATTATTATTTATTTTTTTATTATTATTACAAATGTCATGCAACTTTTATACATGCTTTCATTTGTTGCTTTTTTTATTATTATTTTTTTATTATTATTATTATTACAAATGTCATGCAACTATTATACATGCTTTCATTTGTTGCTTTTTTTTATTATTATTATTATTTATTTTTTTATTATTATTACAAATGTCATGCAACTTTTATACATGCTTTCATTTGTTGCTTTTTTTATTATTATTTTTTTATTATTATTATTATTACAAATGTCATGCAACTATTATACTTTTAATAATTTTTTTTATTATTACAAATGTCATGCAACTATTATACATGCTTTCATTGGTCAAAAGGCGCGAGAACCCCGAATTATAACATGCATAATGTGTGTTAATGACATATTAATGTAAGTGTCTTATGTGTTTTTGCAGAGCGCTATGAGTCGAGCGTCTGAAGACGGTCTGATGTCTCCTGAGTCGAGCGTCACATCACTGCTGGCCACATCAGGACTCCTGCAGAGCTCCTTACACCCGGAGCCCGTCCCCAGCATCAAATACAGAGACAGACACTACGCTTCTGCCTCAGAGGCGCTGGATGCGTACATCACTGACTTCCAGAGGAGTCTGCGGGGCTCTGACACAACGACGGGGAAACTTCAGCTGCCCAGAGAGAGTTCCAAACCTCATCCCAGAAACAGAGACGGTAAATCAGAAGGATTTCATTACATTAATGCAAATGAATTGACGTTTTAAGGAATATTCTAGGACTAGGTTATGTACAGCATAAACTCAATCACCACAGACAGCTGTGAGAAACTCTATTTAATCTGGAATATTAGTTAAAATAATAGATACTATTATAGTTTGAATTCATATTTTGAATTCATTTTTGTTTTTAGATTTTTTTTCCATTTTAATTTTAGTTAAAGTTTTAGTAGTTTTGTTGTCAGTTTTATTCTTTTTGTAAATATGTCTATATAGTACAATATAGATTCTACTTCTGTCAATTTTAGTTTTGATAGTACAAACAAAATAATTACAAAAAAAAAGAAGTAAAAAGCTAAATGAAAATGAGAAATGTTGCCTTGGCAACTAGCTGAAATAAAATAAGAAATATAAAATAAAATTAACTTTTATTTCAGGTAAAGGACAAATATTTTTTATGGTTTTAGTTAACTATAAAAACCCTGTTTAACAGTGTTTAGCATAATTAATATTTAATTTATTAACACTGTATTATTATTATTTATTAATATTTTCCACTTTATTTTAATTTAAAGTATTAGTAATTTTGTTGTGTTGCTGTTGTTTTAGTTTTTTTATGTCTTTTAAGAAATATTACTATTGTAATAACACTATTTCTTTATTAATAAATGATAATAATTTTTTTAGATATTTTATTTTATTTCAATCAACAGAACTGTATTTGTATAGTTTTAACAGCAGCACTAAATTGACATGATCTCATGCATAACGTCCCGTGTTTTTATGTGCTTTGACGAGTGCAGTACTAAAGACGAGTTTGACGGATGAAGAGCTGATCTTCTTAAACATTCCCGTCCGGAACAGAGACTCGGATCGGCTCAGTATGGCCACTGACGACCTCCTGGCTCTCCCAAATGACGGCTCTCTCCCAGTGACCCGCACCTCGGCCCTCCTCTCCCGCTCTGGGAGCTTTCCGTTGGGATTGAGCTTCAACTGTATCTCCGGGTCGCACTTACGGCCCGTTCTGGCTCATAAACACTGCATGCGGCGTCCCGTTCCACCGGTGAGCAGGACATCCCTCCCTGTGGACCATATAATGATGGGCGGTTTGCAGTCACACGGTCAAGCTCCTCCCCCCAACATCCTGCCAGCCAATCGGACGCATCCACCCGACACGCCCAGATCCAGTCACCTCCCGCGCTGGATGACCAGCCAGAAATCCGAGATGGATTTTTCCGGGATGACCAGCGTTCCTGAGCTGAAGTACCCGGCGTGGCTGAGACAGTGTGAAGAATCCTCAGACGATCATCTGCTTCCTCCCAGAGTTCCTTCATGGGTCGGAGAACTGGAGGAGTCCAGTGGAGAGCGTCAGTCGGACACTAAAGGTCAGCGAGATGTCAAAGGTCATGCAGGAGAGCCGTACGGATCCCAGTCCATCGCTCAGTGCAGCCTGAGAGAGCTGCGTTTACAGTCCGAACAGAAACTCGAGGCAGCGAAGAGAGGACAGATTCATGAAGGACAACTTTTCAAAGGTTTGCAAAAACACCAACATCTACTTTTCAAAGCAATATTTCATCCAAAAATGGAATTGAAATTATGTATTATTTTGTACTCGCCTTCATGCAGTGTTATTTTAGTATCATTAATATACTATTTATAGTACATATTAATATTTGAATATTTAATTAATTTATTTAATGAATATATTTATTTTTCTAATGAATAAATAATTTATTTAATGTTTTAGTTTCTATTATTTTTATTTTATTTTACTACTTCAACTTAAACTAAATGAAAATTAGAAATGCTGCCTTGGCAACAAACTGAGAAGGAGCACAACAGTTCAGGAGATACGGAGGACGCTCTGGACGCTGACCGATCCTGGGACAATCCACCTGTGATGTTGTGAGTGATGGGAAATGCTGATATTTTCACATTGAATATCAAGAAAAATGTGTCCCCCAATGCCAAGGTCATGGGTTCGATTCCAAGGGAATGCATGCATGCTTTGAGTGTAACTTGCTTTGGATAAAAGCGTCTAATAAATGCATAAATATAAAGCATGACCTACTGTCTGTAGTAAATCTCCAGTGCCAGTGGGCGGCGCTGAGGAACCTCCAGCACCTGAAGAACTTCAGAGAAGCAAGGTACAGCATGTGAAACTCATTATTATGTCTTTTTGTTTATGTATACTCAATGCTCTTCAGTCTAAATCTGTCTGTCTCTAGTCTGCAGCTTCCTGTTCATCAGGATACAGCAGCAGAAAGCATCCTGGTCCGGTGGAGGCGCTCAAACACATGCTGTTCCGCCTGCAGGCCGTCGAGCACAAGATCAGCCAATCACACGCCTCCGGTGACGCCAAAACCACTGCATCTTCAGCCGCACAGCTGGAGAGAGACACACTGGAGCAGGTGAGCGGAAAACCAGTGTTGCTCACGTTATAACTGACAAAGCTGTCCGCTTCATTATCTGGTTTATCACATTGTGGCAAATTCTGTTAATAAGAACGGTATAACAATGACTTGTTTAGATTTTTTTAATGTATCAGGCAATATACAAAACAAGAAATTGATTCATAAATTAGCAATATTTTTTGTACATAGATGCAACAGCAAACTATGGAAGCTTGTTTCCGCCACAGGTTAAAAAAATAAAAACGGTAATTGTTAAAAAATTACTTTTTTCCTTGCAATTCTGACTTTATATCTCACAATTCTGAGAAAAAAAGTCCAAATTGTAAAAGAAAAAGTTGCAATTACCTTTTTTTTGTGGCAGAACAGAATTGCGAGATGTAAAATCAGAATTGTGAGAAAGTTTTTCCGAATTCTGACCGTTTTTTCCAGATTTTGATTTTTTCTCACAATTCTGAGGAAAAAAAGTCAGCATTGTGAGAAAATAAGCCAGAATTGGGAGAGGGAAAAGTTGCAATTACCTTTTTTAAATTTTTTATTTTGTGCAAAAAACAAAAAAAGAAAACCAAATTGCAAGATGTAAAATTAGAATTCAAGAACGTCAAAAATCTGAGTTTATTTCTTACAATTCTGATTTTATATTTTGTAATTCTGACTTTTTCCCCCAGAATTGTGAGAAAAAAAGTCAGGATTGCAAAATATAAACTCATAATTGTGAGATAAAGAGTTACAATTATCTTTTTTATTTTTTAATTCCATGGTGGAAACGTGATGTCTGATTTATATTCTTTCTTCTGTGAAACACAAAATCAGATGTTATGCAGAAATGTTCATGCTACTCTTTTCCACATTACAAAAGTGATTTTTGTACAGATAAGCTCCAAAAAAAAAAAAAAAGGGCAAAAGGGACAAAAAAGCACCATAAAATAATGAAAATAGTTCCATACTACATGCAATAAATTCCACTGAATATATTGTTACTGATGACAAAAACCACTGGTTCCTGTATGTCATATGACCAGCTAAACATAGCAAGTTTAAAATGTATGCAACCTTTCATTTTTCCTGCACTATTCCTTTTAATTTTGTTTTGTGATTGTATTTTTTGTTGTGTTTAAGGTTCCTCAGCAGGAAACAGAAGAATCTGACCTGGGAAACGTGGAGTCATTACAGAGGTCAGGAGGGTCACGTGACCTCGGTGAAGCAGCGCTGCTCTCGTATCATGAACTCAAGCTGGTGTTCAGTGTTGTTGAGCTTTTATCTGTTTCCTCAGAGCTCTTCATCACCTGGACAGACTGAAAACACTTGTGGACGACATGAACGAGAGGAAGGCTAGAGCAGAGGATGATGGGATAGATTGTACAGACACTCCTGCAACTAATATAACAGACTGGACCAGAATCAACAAGCAGCTGTGAACCAGAAACCACAGACTGTTATTATGGATCATATTAGCTGGAAGTGTGCTCACCCTCAGGTTATTCGGGATTAGGATGAGTTTGTTTCTTCATCAGGTTTGGAGAAATGTAGCATTGCATCAGTGTCTCAGCAATGGATGCTCTGCAGTGAATGGGTGCCGTCAGAATGAGAGCTGATAAAAACATCACAATAATCCACAAGTAATCCACAGCACTCCAGTCCATCAGTTAACATCTGGAGAAGACAAAAGCTGAAACAAATCCAGCATCAAGACTTTTATTTAATATTTATATTTTTTTAGCTGTCTTCATTGGTTACATTTATTTTTCTTTAGTAATTTTAGTACTTCAGCTTAAACTAAATGAAAATGAGAAATGTTGCCAATGTTGCAACTAACTGAATTTAAAGTTGTTATTTTATTTTATGTTATTAATGAAAATGATTTTGAATAGTTTTAGTTATTGACACAATACTGCCTCCATGTCATTCCAGATAAAATCGTCACTGGTCTCTTGTGCTTCTCTGTTTAGATGATAAGATCGGTTCTCTGATCTTAAGAGCCGAGCAGGCGTTACACTCGTCTTCTGTTGCTCTCTGTGAGCCGGTGAAGGAGCACAACAGTTCAGGAGATACGGAGGACGTTCTGGACGCGGACCGATCCTGGGACAATCCCCCTGTGACGTTGTGAGTGATGGACAATGATGATATTTTCACATTGAATCTCAAGAAACTTCTATTATTTATTGGCAAAAATGTGCCTTTGGTTCTTAAAAGCAATGCAAAGGTGATGGATTTGATTCTCAGGGAATGCATGATTGAATGCAGTGTAAATCGCTTTGAATAAAAGCATGTAGTAATGCAGCTAATATAACAGACTGGACCAGAATCAACAAGCAGCTGTGAACCAGAAACCACAGACTGTTATTATCCTACAGACACAGACGCTTCATGGATCATATTAGCTGGAAGTGTGCTCACCCTCAGGTTATTCGGGATTAGGATGAGTTTGTTTCTTCATCAGGTTTGGAGAAATGTAGCATTGCATCAGTGTCTCAGCAATGGATGCTAATGAGAGTCCAAACAGCTGATAAAAACATCACAATAATCCACAAGCAATCCACAGCACTCCAGTCCATCAGTTAACATCTGGAGAAGACAAAAGCTGAAACAAATCCAGCATCAAGACTTTTTAACTAAAATACATCGACTCCAAAATCCATAATAATGCTTCCTCCAGTGAAAAGGTGCATCTCTTGTTGTCTCTCACATCAGAATCCAGCCACATATTTGTTTAGAGCTGTTTAAACGCTGCTTGATCTGTGCAGATTTCTCTCCTGATTCACACCAGAACACTTTTTCACTGGAGGAAGCGTTATTATGGATCATGGACTCTATGTATTTTAGTTAAAAACGTCTTAATGCTGGTTTTGTTTCAGCTTTTGTCTTCTCCAGATGTTAACTGATGGACTGGAGTGCTGTGGATTACTTGTGATGTTTTTATCAGCTGGTTGGACTCTCATTCTGACAGCACCCATTCACTTGCAGTGAGCAAGGGATGCAATGCTACATTTCTCCAAATCTGATGAAAAAACAAATTCATCTACATCTTGGATGGCCTGAGGGTGAGCACATTTCCAGCTAATTTTCATTTTTGGATAAACTATTCCTTTAAAGGAATCTGCTTTACAATATCTATTTGTCTTCATGAAAGATAATAAAAAATGCAGACTATCAATCGAAGCGGTTTCAAAGGGCACATGCTTTTACCTGCAATGAGCAGCATTTGAGCTGATCAGTCAGTGTTTGTCTAAAGTGTGTTGTTTATTGACTTGCGCAATCATTTAGTGTTGCATTATTGTCTTGAACAATAATATGGATAAACACTGATTCTGTAGCTCTGTGCATTTATTTCTTCATGCAAATTATCATATGACTTCAGAAGTCAAGTTGTATGAAATAGGTCAGATACTTAAATTTATCTCGTGCGCTTCAAAAGAAAGAAAATCATACGGGTTTGGACCGATATGAAGGTGAGTAAAATATATTTACTACAGGACAGTTGTTTTGATGTCGAGCTAATATTCTCTGTGTTGCAAAACATGCTTATTTCTCTGTACTGTCCAAAATTACCAAATCAAAGCAGCAACTGAACATTTTATGGGAAATTGACCAAGTCAAACACTTTCCAAGGACACTAACAGTTTGTGTGTTCATTTACAGGACATTGACCTGTGATCAGTGTTCCTGGCTGCTGATTGGCTGGGATATTAATAAACCACACAAATGTTTTGTTCTGATCGGCTTGATAAAGAAGCAGGCAGGTTCTGCTGACCGACCACAGACGACTCGGAAACCCAGGATCAATTTTAAGTGTAGAAACCAAACAGGATTAATTACATCAGTATTTTAGTCCATCTGTAGCAATGCATCGCTTCATTTCCATCATGTTTTCACTGCTAGCCTTTATTGGGCTGCAGGGGAGCGTTCAGACCGCAGGAAGACGTTCTGAGAGGAGCATCGAGAGACACTTCGTATCGTTGCTGATGGTACGCAATGGGATGAACTGGGGGTCGTGGGCTCAAAGGGAATTCTGTCCGAGGGGAACGTACGCTGCAGGATTTAGTCTCATGGTAAGTTGAGCACTGACTCATGAATGTGGCTTAACCTGTTAACTGTCCCTGGCCCACCGGTGGGCCCACTTGTCATTACATGTTTTAAACAGTAATATCTTAGTCTGAACCTAAAGTAATCTTGACAAACTATATATCGTTTGAAAGCTTACTAGACTCTAGTTTTCATATTTGGTGACGAATTTTTGAAATATTTTACAGAGCAACTGTAATTTATTAATTTGTAAGAAGAGTACTCCTCAGAGTCGGAGAGTGAGTTCTGACCTTTACTTTGAAATAGCGGTGCACGTATGAAATCATGAAAAATCAGTAAAAACCTCCATTCATTTTCATGTCAAGTGTTCAAAAGATAACATCCATTCCATTTTCGGAGAAAAAAAGGTCTAGAAGTGTTTTGAATATAAAGAAAAAACAATTGATTATCCATTTTTGATGCAGCGTGAACTGTAACGTAGGTCTAAGGTTCTCGTCGCATGATTTTGTGTTTTTTAGAGGTTGAATTGAAATCAAATACTGCCATACTGCCCTTAATACTTCTGAATGTGATGTCTGCTTCATAATTATTGAGAAAAGTATGGAAAAACATGTTTCAGATCACTCAAACCATATATGGAAATGGAGGTGCCCTTATATGGTTACTAATGGGGTTTGATGGTCATCTAGTGGAAAAGCTTGGTACTACGCCCAAACAAAATCTCACTGAAAGCTCGTTTTTTGAGATATCAACCTCAAATTTGGAACACAACTTGTTCTAGCAGTTTTAGAGTAAAACATGTTTTGTAAAATATATATTTTATATAAAATATAAATATTTTAATTTTTATATTTTCATAAACTTAAACTTCCATAACTTTTTATTATACTACTACTACTATTATACTACTATTTACTATTCACTTCTACAATAATCTGCCAAGTGTCTTCTTTAAAAAGAGACCAACCTTAAGTCTGTGCTCCAAAGCATTCAACAATTTAATTTGGAAATGTCATTTTCAGGTCTATGCTCAAAAAGTGGAGCCGACAGTTAACAGGTTAAAGGTTCAAAACGGGTTTCTGATGTAGTATTTTTGTTTTGTTTGACTTGAAGTGAAAATGAAGTGAGTTTATGCTTAAAACAAGAATAAATATCTGCCAATGGGGTCAGAAAAGTCAAGTCACCTTTATTTATATAGCGCTTTTAACAATACAGATTGTGTCAAAGCAACTGAACAGCATTAATTAGGAAAATAGTGTGTCAATAATGCAAAATGACAATAGTAAACACAAATTTTTCAGTTAAAGACAGTTCATCATTGAATTCAGTGATGTCAACATCCAGCTCAGTTTAAATAGTATCTTTGCAATCAAGTCAACGGTATCGCTGGAATGAAGTGTCCCCAAAAGTACCCTTAAGTTTTTTTTTACATGACAGAAGTTTCATTTTGATGTTAAATGCCATTAAAAACTACTCAAGTGTTTTTAAATAATGCATATAAATTTAAATAATTTGTGCTTTTGTCCAGTTAAACCTTCTTACGCAAGGTCGATTTAATACAATATGTAGTATTTTTTATTATTATAATTATTTAACATCACATTTTTTCTTTATTTAAGCAAAAACTGCAGGGTTTAACTACAAGTATTTAAATAACTTGTACTTTTGTCTTGTTTTCTAGTGAAACATCCTTAGTGCACAGGGTAGATTTAATACAGCATGTACTATTTATTATTATTTATTATTAAACATCTTTATACAAAGTAAATTTACTATTTGTAAGCACTATTCAGTGCTGGGAAGGTTACTTTGGAAATGTAATCGGTTACAGATTACAAGTTACCCTATTTAAAATGTAATAAGTAGTGTAACTATTTCAATTACTTTCTTAAAGTAATGTAACTGATTACATTTGATTACTACATTTCTAACTAATATTTTCAAATGTTAAGAATTTCTCAACACTGATTACTGTCAGACTTTCAAAATCCTTCACTTGAATTAAGATTATAATAAATTAATTTTAAAGCACAGCCACCACAAAATCAGATTTTTGCACTTCTTTTTTTTTTTTTTTACTTTGAGATCGTTCTGAGGTTAAATACTGATTCAAAATCATGAGATATAGTTTAATAGATATGATTCTGTTTTTGAAATCAAATCTTTGCAAAAGAAACAGGAAAGGCCGACATCTAACAATGCTTTGGAAAAACTATTAATCTTCAAAAATAAAGCATTTACACAAACTCAAATACGAAACACAACAGTTATCGAATAAGCATGTGTCTGCAAATCTGTATATATAGACGACATTGTCACAAGTAACTGTAATTTAATTACTTTTTTCCTCAGTAACCGTGACAGATTAGTTACATTTATTGTATAATTAAATGACGTAATTCCGTTACATGTAACTCACTCCCTGACTGCTATTATTCAGCATCCTTAAACAAGTTGGCAATTGTTTTCTTTATTTAACTAAAAACTCACTTCATTTTGATATATCTTTCATCATAATGCAAGAGTTGTTTTGTCATTTTGCAACTCAAGTATATGGATCTTGATTTAAGAATGTTTAGATATTTGTTCTGGAAAACAAGACCAAAATACTGAGGAAGAAAATCTATTTTTTGCAGTGCCGTAAGAATGAACTATGTTTAGTCTCTTATTAATCTCCATGAATGTTATTATTGGTTAGTTAACTCTGTTCCCAATGGACGATTGCCTTAATGCTTTGCTGTTGTTTTTTGAGGTGGAGGAACTTTCCTTTGGTCTTTGGGATAACACAGCGCTCAATGGGATTCGTCTTCACTGCATCAGTCTCTTCAAAGACCCACACTCAGATGAGCATGACCGTTTCATTCAGTCCGAAGTAGGAAGGTAATGGACTCAGACTTTACACTGTTATGAAGAATTCTTACATTAAAGGTTAGGAAGGGTTTCTTCATAAGCTAGATAAATAAACTAACAAATAAATAAAAACTAATAATAACTAATAAATAAAAGGTTTTTCCAAAGAACTAAAATTCTTTTAAATAATCATAAATTGTGATTTTCTTCAGCTGGGGTCAGTGGACAAAAATCAAATGGTGTCCTTCTGGATTCTTGACAGCTTTTCAGCTGAGAGTCGAATCTTCCCAAGGAATTGGAGACGACACGGCCGCAAACAACATCAGGTGAACATGTGGCAGTACAAGTCGTACTGTTGCTGTTTTGTGAGTCGTTGAGCATTATCAAGCTGTTTAAAGGGATAGATCACCCAAAAAGAGGACCTATTGTGCTTTTCTCAAACATTGCTGTTTGAGCATGAAGAAGTTATAAAGCACAAAGTCTACTCCAGTTATTCTCTATATCAGTAACTCCCTCACTGAACACCTTCATTCCATTCCTAAGTTTTCTTCCAGAAAGGTTTTTTTTTTTTGTGCAAATTACGGTAACGGGCATTACATTTCTGACACGGTGTTCAGCCAATCACAGCGCACTCAGTCAGCTGGCCAATCAGAGCCCTCTGAGCTTTTCAGAAGGAGGGGCTTTGTAGAAATCAGTGCATTCCACACCGATTTTAAAAAACAGTAAATGCTTAAAGCAGGGCTGTCCAAACTCAGTCCTGGAGGGCCGGTGTCCTGCAGAGGTCCAGGGTCACATATAAGCATGGCAGGTGACCAACAGCACAATCGTAAGTGTTCTATAAAGAGTAAATTAATAGGCTGTATATTTCTTCTTGGCCAAAGCAAACCATTCCAAAGCTTCATGTTTATCAAAATACTGCCACATTTTTCAGATTCAATTGCAGTGGAGGGTCTTTGCTGCTGGGTGACGGCACACACAGGGGCGAGTGGGGCGACTGGAGCCCATTGTGTCAGGGAAGAGGGATGTGTGGCATCATGACACGGATAGAAGAGAAGCTGAAATTTGGAGATGACACCGCTCTCAATGACGCGCGCATGTTCTGCTGTGATTAAGGTGATGCGATCGCAATCAAACACTCGGATCGTCACATACTGCAGCGCAACTGAGTTTGGTTTTTCTTTCAGGTTTAAGAGGACCACAACAAAAACAGCAAGAAGACTGATATCACTATGATGAGCTAACATGAACCATACCACAGTTTTGTAAGGGATCATGCACAATCAGCAGCATTATCACAAAATAAAGAACAGGATAATCAAGACCCCCAAAAATGCCAAGGTTGACTGGATTATCCTCATTATTTTATTTTTGAGCCAAATCGCATTAACGTTTCTTTCTAAGAAACACCTTGAGTTTCACGTCCTTTAGCACATCGAGTTATAAAGTATAGAATTTTTTATACTTTATAGTTTCTTTATAGTAGAAAAAGGTTCATTAGATTGAATTATTCTTCAGACTAATAAATAAATTATTCTTTTAGGAACTGTTCCCCTGAAAGGTTTCCAAAATGTGGAATCACTGCAAAAAAAAACATTTAAATAAAAAGAGAGTGTAACATTTAAAATGTCTTCATTTAACTTGAGATGGCACTATTGGCAAAATATTACAGTAGCCATAATCCTGAATAGAGATCTGCCCATCAGAAAAATGGAAAATGAGCTATAAGATCCAGTATCATACTGTGTATCACACACACATTTCAATCATATCATCTCCAGTAATCATCTGCATGAGATATTTGTGATCAGATCCAGATGATTGCAGCTTGCGGCTATATTTTTGATGTTATTGTTTTGAAGTTTCATCAGCTGGAAACGGAAGAACTCGACCTGGGAAGTGGAGAGTCATGTGACCTCATTGCTCTCGTATCATGAACTCGAGCTGGTGTTCAGTGTTGATTTCTGCTCACAGTATCTGTTTAATATTAATATTGAGAACTCATCAATCAAAGCTGTTTCAAAGGGCTCATGCTTTTACTGGCAATGAGCAGCATTTGAGCTGATTGTGTTCACATGCAGATCATTGACTTTAATATCCACAATCATTTTAGTTTTGAATAATTTGTCTGATTACTGGCTGGAACAATAATAATGATAAACAGATTTTCTTTAGCTAATTGATCCGATATATATGATATATATTCTTGTTTTTATGTTGTTGTTTTTTTTAGAAGACATATTCAGCAGTCAAGAAAATACTTTATGATATTTAAATTCTCACTGTGCCCGTCAGAAGAAAGACAGTCATACGGTTTGGAACGACACGAGGGAGAATAAATGAGGACTGAATTTACATTTTTAGCCAAACTGTTCCTTTAACTTGTGCTTACTTGCAAGCATTGATATTTACATCAGGAAATGTCAGTAAACCTATACGCAAATGCCCAGCATTTTCTCCACTGTTAAATATTTCTGTCTGAATCATTAAAGATATAAAATCAAACAAGCAACTCAGTATTTTAGAGGCATATTACCAAGTAAAACACTTTGTATGGTCACTAACGGTCAAACATAGGCCTGCAGATATTTTTGTTGGATCAGTGTTTGTATATTTGCAGGTTATTGATGTCTTGGGCCACTGATCAGTTTATATTTACTTAGATAACGTTTTGGAGAGAGGTTCTATTTGCTGTGCTGGTTGGACTTGAATCCAGCTGTTGGTGGAGGGTCAATGTCCAACACTGAGCTCTGTGACGAACCGGCAAACACACTCACACACACACACACTCACTAACTCACACACACACACTCATACACACCCACACGCTCGCTCACACACACATCTGTTCCGATCTCCAGCAGGAGACATAAAAGACGGCTCTCAAACCATGTACAAGTTGATTTCACTGCTGGCTGTTTTCGGGCCGTATGTGATCGCAGGAGGACGCTTTGAGCGAACCATTAGCAGACCTTTCAGATCTTTGCTGAGGGTCCATAACGGGATGAGATGGGGCTCGTGGGGTCAGAAGGAAATGTGTCCGACTGGAATGTATGCCACAGGCTTTAGTCTTAAGGTGAGTGACTATCACCAGTATACAGTAGTGTGAGGTTCAGTGGCTCCACATAAAATCAAAACTGACTATTACTTTCTTAATTCATGTTCCTGATCTTATTGTGAATGATTAGTCTGGTTATAAGTGATTATTGTGAAGTTATTTGTTTTTCACCTAATGCAATCTAAGTCATGCAGACTATAGTTAATGTTAATGTTAACCTATAGTAAATTCTACAGTTGCACACGGTATGATATTATTATAATATGTGACCCTGGACCACAAAACCAGTCATAAGGGTCAATTTTTCAAAATTGAGATTTATACATCATCTGAAAGCTGAATATATAAGCTTTCCACTGATGTATGGTTTGTTAGGATCGGACAATATTTGGCTTAACACTGCTTTTGTGCTGCAGGGTCACATATGTATTATGGCATGTGTGCGATATGATCAAACTTATAATAACCCCAAAATGTACAATTTTAATCATGGCAATGATACACAGCATCTAATAGTAATTAGGACAACAAAATATCAGGCCAGATATTTGCACACCAGAAATTTTAGATCTTTTACTCGATGATTTTTTTATTTCTTCTTTTTATATTTTGCTACATTTGAACCTTTTTCTTGCCATGAAAATAGCCATGGTAGCTTTATAAAGAAACAAACACCAAAATGTCATAAACTAAAACTAAACACATAGATTTCATAATCCTCAATATCTAAACTTCACATACAGTATATCCAACTTTTCCTGCATACATACAGTATGCTCACATAAACAATATATCAAAACCCAACTAGCTGATTATTTATATGTATAAAACACCACATGTAAAATATCCTGTCACGCAGCTCTAAACCAGTGTCACATTATCATATATATGGTGTTATGGTATTTATTTATATTTTTAATTTTATATTAAGTTCTAGTAAATTTGTTGTGTATTTTTGTCAGTTTATTAGTTTTTTATGTCTATTTAGATTTTAATATTTATTATTTTAATTTTGGTTTAGATATTTCTACTTTTTGTCATTTTAATACTTCAGCTTAAAATAAATGAAAATTTATTTATTTATTTTTTTTAATTGAGTTGATTTCAGTCAATGTATTTTTTTTAAAGTAGTAGTTTTTGTTTAACAATAATGAACCTGCGCAGTGTGACTATAAAGCATTAAGTTATTAGTACAGCACATGCTGTTTTTCTGAAGGTGGCAGGTATGTGGGAATCTCTGCTGGTTGGTGATAACACGGCACTCAATGGGATTCGTCTTCACTGCATCAACCCGTCTAAAAGCTCATCGGGCCCGTACGAGGACTACGCCACAGTTCAGTCCGATGTAGGAAGGTGAAGAGCTTGAACTGGACGTAATACAGAGGCTCTGTTCCTAAACCTAGTGAGCTGCCTATATAGAGAGCATCTTATGAAGCATTTGCTGTCTGCACTCTAAAAAATGCTGGGTGGTTTCAACCCAACTTTGGGTCAAATATGGACTAACCCAACCGTTGGGTTAAATTTTTACATTACATTTTTAACCCAAAAGTTGGATTAGTCCATATTTGACCCAAAGTTGGGTTGAAACAACCCAGCATTTTTTAGAGTGTATGTAGACAATAGAATGCAGAATTCTAAGTTTGGGAACAGAGCTGCTATCAACAGAGTTTTTAGCTATTCAAGCTGGATTTTTTATTTAACTAACAAATAACTGGTTATACCACCAACGTGTTCCTTATCACGTTGTTTCCTCAGCTGGGGAAAATGGTCAGATATCAAATGGTGCACGAGTGGATTTCTGACATCTTTTCAGCTGAGAGTGGAACCCTACAAAGGGATCATGGACGACACGGCCGCAAACAATATCAGGTGATGAACTTGTGACAACCGGTTTTCCTAAAGCAGCAGGATTCTGGTTTAAGAATGTCGTTCTCACAGCGTCCCATAACAAGCTGTACAAACACGTCACTGCATGATGCTCATCTGACATGGATATGAAGTGACCTGGTCAAGCGTCCAGAGTTATTTAACGCCAAGAGCTGGACAGTTGGACTCATAGGCTAGTTCTGGTTGTGATCATTGTATTGTCCCATCTGAATTTCTAGGTTTAACTGCAGTGGAAATGCGGAAATGCTGCAGGGATCTGGGATTTCGTGGGGCGAATGGGGCGACTGGAGCGAGACGTGTGGAGGAAAGGGAATCTGTGGCATCGAGACGATGGTGGAGCAGCCGCAGGGAGTCGGAGACGACACAGCCCTCAACGACATGCGCATTTACTGCTGTGATTGAACTGATTGGTTGTTTCAGAAACAAATGATATGGTGGAATTTTTTTAATACATCGTAAGTAAATATATCTTCACCATTGTAGCATATTAACTAAGTTTTCTATTTTAAGTTGGGAACATTTGATTCAATTTGCTGATTTAGTACTTATTTTTAAGATCTTAAATGCACTGTAAAAAATGACCGTGAATTTAACGGTAAAAGACCGTAAAAATGCTACAGTAAAAACCTGTTAAATGGTTAACGGTAAATTCCCCTACTATATACATGAATTCATGTTTATTTCGTTATTTTAGTGTCACATTATGTTTTTTTTATATTTGTGTCTATGACACCAAGCACCTTCTATGGATTAGTATTTGACTCAGATTGTGAAAAATCTACTTGTGATTCTACATATAGTTTTCTCATTACCACCTGTGTTTTTATTAGTTATTACTGTATTACAAAGGTACAAAGCAGATTTTAGTACTTCAATATGTTGGTATATTAACATTATATCAGTTAATGAAAATATGGTATTTCACTGTAAATTTAAGATAAAACCGTAAAACCTAAAACGTTGCTACTGTATTTTTTACGGTAAAATTCCGGCAACCACAGCTGCCGGTTTTTTACCGTAAATTTTATGGAATTTTTTTTACAGTGTGGTTTTGCTCCACCTGTTTTTAAGGATTACATTGATCAGATAACAGGACGGTATACTCGTGCCGGTATTTGAGGTGATTGTAATGTGCCATTAAGAAAAACTACCTTTGGTCAATTATCTTTTGCTTTTAGAGGAACACATGAGTGGAATAGACTCCCAGTAGAGCTGAAAGAATTAAAACATTTAACAGGACACTTTGGTTTCTCGAAAAAGCTGAAAATATGGTTATTGAACCAAACAGGACACTGTGGTTTCTCGAAAAAGCTGAAAATATGGTTATTGGCCCATCAAAATTGTGATCATTTATAGTGGTTTATGGATATGGTAGTGTGTAATTTTGTGTTTCCATATAAGTCTTAGTTTATTTTTTCTTCTGCTTTATTATTTTCTCCTTGTTTTTAATTTGGTGTATTAATATTCTTTGTTTATATTTTCTTCCTGTCCTTAACATCAACCTGCCAAAAGGGACTGCAGATGAAAATTAGCCAGTGTTGGCTAAATCTGGGGCATTTTACATATTTATGTACTATTAATGGGCATTGTCCCTGATTAAATAAAAAAATGTAAAAAAAATTAAATGAAAGTGGCGCTTGACTTTTGGGCAGAATTAATTGAGCAGATCTAAGAGAGATTTTTTTTCTTTTCATATTTAATGGACAACGAAAACAACAATGCCATCTAAAATTAAAAGATCTTGAACATACCGAAGAATTTACCTATGTTTTCCTCGGGTATATGTTTTAAGACAAGTTTCATAGGGAGAGAGAGAAGCCGCAGCGTGTGAACGCGCCGCCATGTTTGTATCCAATATCCCAATGTCCCTGATTAAATAAAAAAATGTAAAAAAAATTAAATGAAAGTGGCGCTTGACTTTTGGGCAGAATTAATTGAGCAGATCTAAGAGAGATTTTTTTTCTTTTCATATTTAATGGACAACGAAAACAACAATGCCATCTAAAATTAAAAGATCTTGAACATACCGAAGAATTTACCTATGTTTTCCTCGGGTATATGTTTTAAGACAAGTTTCATAGTTGTCAATTTCTATTAAGTTACTTCATGTGCATGATTCTGTGAATGGATATCATTAAAAAGGTGAATGATGACAGTGTCTCTTCATGGGTCAATTCTTACCTGGGTTAACTTAGAGAGATCAAAATAAATCACTCAAAATAAGTAAATAAATCAAATTAAAAATTAAAATAGTTTTTTACAAATGTTTACTCACCCCGATATTGTAGGTTTTTAAATAGGCCTAATGCTTTGAGCAGAGTTTTTTTTTAAATAAAATTATTTTTTCCATTCATGTGTAATGGAAAACAAAGAGAACAGCAACAACATCTACTATTAAAAGATCTTACTGAAAAATGTACTTGAGTTTTCCTCCAGTTTGTTAATAGAAGAGTTTTGTGACTAGTTGTCAATCAAGGAAATGCATTTCTATGAAGTTATTTTATGTGATTCTGTGAATAGGTATCATTAAAAAGATGCATGTTTAAGTATTTATTGAGTGTCCCTTCATGGGTCAGTTCGTAGGAATTTTCTTCAGTATAACTGAAGCCTATAAAATCCATTCATTTTTTACTCACGTTGCTGCTGTTCTAAAGCTGTATGACCTTTTCTTTTTCCGAACACTTAAAGATGTGTTTGCTCTTGTCTTGATCACATAATGGCAGTGAACTTTAAAGAAAGGATGCAAAGGTCTTATAAAATACTCGTTTGCGACTCCTGCCCTAAGAGGCATTGGTTCTCTGAGGTAAACACGTCAGTTACAGCTGTCTCCTGTCAAAATGGCAGTTTACAGATTTGACCGCGAGAACTGATTAAAAAAATTTGGCGCGAATTTGGCTCAGCGCAAACTGCCGCTCTCATGAACTCAAGCAGAAGCGCAACGGTCGAAGTCAAGTTTTTCGCTAAATAATAAATGACATTTCGGTTTGTTTTTACCAGCTAGTAAAGCTTGAAAAGATGTGTGTGTGTGTGTGTGTTCTATCCCTTTCAATTACCAATAATCAAACTACTTTTCCCTCAAAAACTGAACCATGAATGCACTTACAATGGAAAATGTTAACACTTGAGAGTTGAAACTGATAGAATTACTAACCAATCCTGTTTAATCAAATCTCTAATCATGACTAGATTAAAAAAAAAAGTAAACCTGGTTTAATATCTACACATGGATACCATGATATAGGACATTACATAACTATCTGTAAAACACTGCGTACATGAGTAAATAACACACATTTATAATGAATCATTCATCTAAGTGGTTATTTTTGCTTTAAAACCGTTTTAAGAGACTTGCAATTCTATTGCTGTGAATATATTTCAAATTCATTTGTTTGTCGTTGTATTTGTAATTCAATCACAAAAGCGCACTTTAAATGATGCACAGGATTTTGTTTGATCATGTTTTTTAATGCACAACAGGACGCAAAAAAATTATAATTTGTTTAAACATCATTCAGATGCTTTATTACTTGGTTAAGTTGCATTTTATGGTTCCATAAGTAAGAAAAAAACACCATCTTAGTTCGTTTGTTCTTTTCTCAAGTAACATTTCTCCACATATTCTTAGACATCACTAACTCGCAAAGAAACATAAATGCTTTGTGAAAAATATAATACGTCATCACTCTCTGGATCTATATGGTCTGTTATATCATTCAGTGAAAATGTAGATTTGTCGTCTTTAAATCAGTAACATTGTTTTGATATTCTAATGGTCACCTGTCAGGGATGATTGGTTCATAAGACATCACGTGATTTAAACGTTAGCAGAGATTCTGCTTCAGTCATCATCATCATCTTCCTCACTGGCTCTAAATGCTCGTTTCAGATCCGCTGTACTTGCTTTGTGAGCTCAGGGTTTCTGAGCGAGCAGCGTGCTGAGTTTGATCTTGCCATCCATAGACGCAGTGAGGCAGGTGCCGCAGTCCATCGCTGAGCACCAATCAACCGTCACGACGGGCGCTTTATGACCGCCGAGAGACAAGACGCTTTCCAGACCCGCGTCCGCCTTATTCAACTAGACAAGAGAAGAGCAGATATTAGGCTAGGTCCATAACATTAAAACTAAATCCACGAATAAACATTTCTGATACTTGAGCTAAAATAAATAAATAATAAAATATATTAAAAAAAAAAAAACATTTTATTTCAGCTATAGCTGCCAAGGCAGCATTTCTCATTTTTGTTTAGTTTAAGCTTAAGTACTCAAATAACTAAAATTAAAATAATAATTTGAAATAATACTTAATAAAAACTATACATATTAAAAACTAATAAAATGAGAACAACACAAAAACATAAAACTAAATCATTAAAATAAATATTAACTGAAATCAAATAAAATATTAAAAAGTAAACTTTTTTATTATTGCAACTTATTTTATTTCAGCTAGTTGCGAAAGTAGCATTTCTCACTTTTTGTTTAAAGTCGAAAAATAAATTCGAAAATTAAAACTGTAATAAAATTGAAAAAAAATATATAGAAACATTTAAAGAAACTAATAAAAATGAGAAAAGCAATAAAATTACTAAAACTAAAAAAATAAATTTTAACTGTTAATAACTGTTAAATAAAGCAAATGTAAACTGAAATAAAATATTAAAAAACTTAAACTAAATAAAAATGAAAAATGCTGCCCTTACAACTAGCTGAAATAAAATAAGTTGAAGTATTAAAATAACTAAAACTGAAATAAAAAAAATAAAATCTGTATAGACACATTAAAAAAATCATAAAAATGATTAAAAAAAATACTAAAACTTTAAAATTAAAATGTAAGAGGAAGACAAAAATAAAAACTAGTTCAAAATATTAATAAAAACTATATAAGTATACCAATGATAGTAAAATAACACTCGTTCATAATGACAGAAACAGCAACATACTAGTGATGAAACCAAAAAACAACCAAACAAAAAAACAAACAACCAATTCCTCAATGAACTAGACTCACCTGACAGGTGTGAGTGTATGTTAAATGTGTTGTTTTACCCGGTAGATATTTCCTCCGTTGCTGGAGCAGGTGAGAACATGTTGGCCCTCAGAGTCGAAAGCGAAGAGTCGACCGCGTGGAACCTGAACCTGTTTATAGCCGCTGTAACCCGACAGAACAAACGGCCCCACGGCATCCTGGGACAGCGAGTACTCCGACTGTTTCACGCCACAGCGGTGGATATTCCACTGCACAAACTGACAACAAACACAATATTACTGATTACTTAACACATAACTTAAAAGATATTGAACTGATACAGGGAACTGAATCAAACTTCTCAACTCGAACACCATTTTTGCTGCTGAAGTTTAAATCAGAGACGCTATTAAAACACGAGTGGCATGTGGGGTAGAAAGCAATGCAGCACAGAGATTCGCATCACCTTCCCGTCCTCTCCGATGCTGAAGACGGTATTCTCATCGTAGCTGAACTCCACGCTGTACACTTCACCATCATGAGCCTTCCAGCTCAACGCGCTCTCATAGCGCTGCATGTCTGCAGAGAAACGCAGCAGACACAAACACTTCAACATCCAAATTAAATGCGAGCAACATGGGGTTTAATTGTGCTGTACATGTGGAAGAATTGACAATAAAGCAGACTTGACTTGACTTGACTTGACTTAAAAGATGATTAATATTCAGTAATGTTATCGATTTAACTGCACTGACACTACTGGATGAGAACAAAATTGAACTGAACTGAACTAAATAATGACACTATTGTCTTACGTAGAGCTTGACACTGTTAGTGAACTGAATCAACACTGAACTAAACTGAGCTGGAAAATGGATCTATTGTCTTCCGTAGAGCTGCTTTAGCTTAAATTGTATTAATTTAAATTTTATTAATTTTATTGAATCAATATTTAACTAAATTGAGCTGAATAATTAAACTATTCCACTTTACAGCTGAAACTGAATGTGTTTCATAATTGATGAACTTTGGAACATCGACATTGTTATTGAACTGAACTGAATTAATGCTGAACTAAATTGAATCAGCATTGAACTAAATTGAATCAACAGTGCACTAAATTGATATGAATGATGACATTATTTTCTTTTGTAAAGCTACTTTAGAACTGAATTGAACTTATTTTATAAATGAAATTTGCAAAATTGACACTGATATTGAACTGAACTGAATCAACATTGAACTGAATTGATCTGAATAACGACACTATTTTCTTTTGTATGGCTCCTTTAGAACTGAATTTAACTTATTTTATAAATGATTAACTTTGCAACATTGACACTGATATTGAACTGAACTGAATCAACATTGAACTGAATTGATCTGAATAACGACACTATTTTCTTTTGTATGGCTCCTTTAGAACTGAATTTAACTTATTTTATAAATGATTAACTTTGCAACATTGACACTGATATTGAACTGAACTGAATCAACATTGAACTGAATTGATCTGAATAATGACACTATTTTCTTTTGTATGGCTCCTTTAGAACTGAATTGAACTTATTTTATAAATGATGAACTTTGCAACATCGACACTGTTATTGAACTGAACTGAATTAATGCTGAACTAAATTGAATCAGCATTGAACTAAATTGAATCAACAGTGCACTAAATTGATATGAATGATGACATTATTTTCTTTTGTAAAGCTACTTTAGAACTGAATCGAACTTATTTTAGAAATGAACTTTGCAACATTGACACTGATATTGAACTGAACTGAATCAACATTGAACTGAATTGATCTGAATAACGACACTATTTTCTTTTGTAAAGCTACTTTGGTACTGAATCGAACTTATTTTATAAATGAACTTTGCAAAATTGACACTGATATTGAACTAAATTGAATCAACAGTGCACTAAATTGATATGAATGATGACATTATTTTCTTTTGTATGGCTCCTTTAGAACTGAATTGAACTTATTTTATAAATGAACTTTGCAACATTGACACTGATATTGATCTGAACTGAATCAACATTGAACTGAATTGATCTGAATAACGACATTATTTTCTTTTGTAAAGCTACTTTAGAACTGAATCGAACTTATTTTATAAATGAACTTTGCAACATTGACACTGATATTGAACTGAACTGGATTAATGCTGAACTAAATTGAATCAGCACTGAAATAAATTGAATCAACACTGCACTAAATTGATCTGAATAATGACATCATTTTCTTTTGTATGGCTCCTTTAGAACTGAATCGAACTTATTTTATAAATGAACTTTGCAACACTGACACTGACATTGAACTGAACTAAATCAACACTGAACTGAATTGATCTGAATAATGACACTATTGTCTTCTGTAGAGCTTAACAGCTTAAATGTGGTTTATAATTGATGAAATTTAAAATAGTAACACCGCTTAGTTTTGTATAAAGCGCTAAAGGAATACATGCGACTAAATCTGAATCTCAGCTGAACCGTCACCATGATAACTTTCTTACCGAACAGTCGTATCATCCCGTCTGCGGCTCCGGTCACCAGCAGGTTTCCGTTGTGGTTAAACGCCGTGCAGTTTATGGCGACCGGACCCGGCTCCAACGCAAACTGTAGCTGAATGCAACAAGACAAACATCATTACAGTGAGTTTTCAGTAAATACATTTCTGTATTGGTGCCGTTTGGCTTCAGTACCTGCTGTTTGACGGTTTTGGTGTCCCACAGCAGCAGCTGTCCGGATACAGGAGCCGAAACTTGTGCTTCGCCCTCCATCACAACACCAGATTGAGCAGCCGGAGCCGCGGCAGAGCAGACAAACGACGTTCCGCTCGGACTGCAGGCTAGCGACAGGATCCTGAACACATGCAGGAAGCTCAGAATGGAATTGGAATCTACTGGATATATACTGTATACTGTCTACTATTTAAAAAAAATATTTTGTGAAACAGTATGCAACAATAACTTATAAATAAGATGTATGTAAAAATTGTTTATGCATGTTTTTTTAGATGAAAATCCTGGTGCATTATGGGTAATTTGTGAGGACTCACCGTGGATGGATGTCGTCTATGGTCATCTCATACAGGCTCTTCTTGGCATCCGTGTCGTAAAGCTTTACCGTGCCGACGCCACTGCCGAGCAACAGCTATAAGACGAAAATCACCACACAAACCAATAAAACCACCAAATTCTAATTAGTTATGAAATTACACAACTGTTTAAAATGGTTATTATTTGAAAAAATAATACTTTTATTCGTCAAGGATATATTAAATTGATCCAAAGTGACAGTAAAGAATTTATAATGTTGCAAAAGATTTCGATTTCAAATAAATGCTGTTCTTTTGAACTTTCTATTTATCTGTGAATCCTGAGATATAAAATGTATCATGGTTTTCACACAAATATTGGGCAACACAACTGTTTTCAACATTAATAATAATAATCAGAGATGTTTCTTGAGCAGCAAATCAGCATATTAGAATGATTTCTGAAGATCATGTGACACTGAAGACTGGGGTAATGATGCTGAAAATACAGCTTTGATCACAGAAATAAATTACAGTTTAACATAGATTCAAGTCAGGGTTATTATAATTAACTAAAATTAAAAACATAATAAATAATAAAAAATAAAACAACTAACAAACAACTAAAACAAATTAGGCTAAAATGAATGACTAAAAATCAATAAAAACTATAGAGATATTTAAAAACAAAACCTAATAAAAAAAATGACAAAGTTTAACTAAAAATAAAGTATAAGCAGAAAATAAAAAAATACATTCAAAATATTAACAAAAACTATAAGAGTATCTCAAAGGTGCTAAAATAACACTGATTCAAATAGAAAACCGCTGTTTTAGACTGTAATAATATTTCACACTATTACTGTTTTTACTGTATTTTTGATCAAATAAATGCAGCCTTGGTGAGCAAAAGAGACTTCTTTAAAAAACATTAAAAAAATATTATCAACCCCAAACTTTTTACTAGTGTTTGATTGTTTTTTGCATTTTTACATTTCACAGCTTAAATATACAAACATGCTAAATTGCACCCCTGATAATGCAAACGCTGATAATGTATGTGCCGTCTGAAGCTAAATCTTTTTATCTGTGTTTATTGGTGAACAGTGCCGTGATTTACCAGTCTGTTGGGTTTGGCCGCCCATTCCAGAGAGAGCAGCGGGGACTTGGACATGATAGTGGCTTTGGTTTGCATGATGGGATTGAAGGCCCAAACCTTCACCACCCCGTCCACATCCAGACTGGCCACTCTCCTGCCCGAGCAGTCCACCCTAAAAACACAATGATATGATGAACTCATATGTGACCCTGGAGCACAAAAGCAGTCTTAAGTCGCTGGGGGATATTTGTAGCAATAGCCAACAATACATTGTATGGGTCAAAATTATAGATTTTTCTTTTATGCCAAAAATCATTAGGATATTAAGTAAAGATCATGTTCCATGAAGATATTTAGTAAATTTCCTACCATAAATATATCAAAACTTAATTTTTGATTAGTAATATGCATAGCTAATAACTTCATTTGGACAACTTTAAAGATGATTTTCTCAATATTTAGATTTTTTTGCACCCTCAGATTCCAGATTTCCAAATAGTTGTATCTCGGCCAAATATTGTCCTAGCATAACAAACCATACACCAATGGAAAGCTTATTTATTTAGCTTTCATATGATGTATAAATCTAAATTTCGAAAAATTGACCCTCTTGACTGGTTTTGTGGTCCAGGGTCACATATGATGAAACTACGATGACCGACACCACATCACATCAGAGCTCATTTACATACAGCATCCAACAGCCCGTGTAATTATAAGAGTCAGAGGAGGACAATGCTTAAGAAAAACTCAATTATGATTGTTTTTGCTGCAGGAACAGAAATATACCAATGGAAAGCTTATTTATTTAGCTTTCATATGATGTATACATCTAAATTTCGAAAAATTGACCCTCTTGACTGGTTTTGTGGTCCAGGGTCACATATGATGGAACTACGATGACCGACACCACATCACATCAGAGCTCATTTACATACAGCATCCAACAGCCCGTGTAATTATAAGAGTCAGAGGAGGACAATGCTTAAGAAAAACTCAATTATGATTGTTTTTGCTGCAGGAACAGAAATATTTAATGTCCACACCTGCAGTGCATGATGGATGAGTGATGCTCTATATACTCCTCCTGACTCAGTTTAATGAAGGGCTGCTCCACTGAAGCTCCGCCCACATCACAGACTCGCGTCTGATTGGTGGAGTCTGTCTGATCAGGAAGAGCTTCGGTTTGAGTGTCTGGATCCGAATCGTTTTTCTTCTCTGAACTCTGTGAAGATCACAAACACAATAATGCATAGAAACGTTCTAGACAGACCCGTCACGATGAAGTCAGTGGGATTTCAACGCGTTTAATATCCAAACTGAAATAATAGCAGCAACCTCCCACTCCCATGATGCACTGCAAATGACACAAAGTTCTTCCTACACTCCCAAACCTCCTATATATTTATATATATATCTGAATATTTTGTAATAATCTACAAATATATTTTGTTGGTAATACTTTACAATAAGTTTCCATTTAACAAAAATACTTCTGAAGCGTTTATTAATCTTAGTTAATGTTAAATTCAACATTTACTAATATATTATTAAAATCTAAAGCTGTATCTGTTAATGTTATTTAATGGACCTGACCTGACATGAAACAACAATAAGCAGTTGTGTTTTTATTAACTAACGTTAACAAAAAATTAATACTGTAACAAATTTATTTCTCATTGTTAATGTATTAGTTATGGAAACTGCTACCACTATATTGCACCAATGTTTATGTAAAACCTGTATATTGTTCCTTAAAGCTGCAGTCTGTAAATTCTGCCTCCTTGTCGCCATCTCTGTTTGAAAACTACAATTGCAGTTATTTGCGGAATTATCTTCTTTACGTGGGTTGTGCATTGGCACGGCTCCTCAGCGCGGATGAATCCTACGTTTTGAGGTGTATGTGTGGGCTGTCAGTCAACGCACCAGTGTGGATATTCACTGTACTTTCGGAATTACAGATAATATGTCTTGGAAGTATGTCCAAAATAAGAACTTTCACCCGAAAATGTCATCTGAACAAGTAACATGTCTGCCAGTTTTGTTCTGACCAACTGGGAATAAAAAAAGTTTCACAATTTAGATTTCAATTTCTCTACAGTCTAATCCCTAATTGTCATACCATTCGAATGTCATTGAAACAAATTGTTCTATTAACCTCAAAAAGAAATTTAATGTTCCTTAGAACTCATTCTAAAATTACAAGTTGGTTATGTACTAGCTCAAAAATTGATTTTGGATCATTTTTAACCAAAAAAAGTTACGGACTGCAGCTTACACCACATTTTAACCGATAAACTATTAGATATCACCATACTTTACTCTGTTGATTAATCTCAGTACATTAAAACATTTTTGTTAAGACAAGTAGGCCTACATTAAGACAAGTTTTGTATTACAAGTGTTCTGAAATGTTATGTTTAAATATGCAAATGAGGCATTATCTAATTAAATATGCACTAATTTGCACAATGAGGCCAATATGGTAATCACATTCAGAGGACTTGGTTTTTTATCTTATCTTTTTTTATCTTATCAAGTCAATTATTGTTAAAAAAAAGACATGGTAGATTTCAACCCAGTGTAAATAATGTTATTTCCAGAAAATAAATCTGATTATTAGATAAAGCCATGTTCAAAGTATTTGTTTGATTTTGTTGATGTATTAGAGTTAAAGGTTTTTATAGAAGGGATTTTTGATTTCTCTTTTTATCACTCCATAAATGAGAAAATACTGTCAACAGACAGAAAAAATACATTTTCGCCACGTTTTTAGGAATAAAATGTTATAAATATAAAAAAATGATGTGAATGATGTTTGAACAAACCCTTCAGTAAAAACCTTCAGAATATAGAGAGGAATAAAACTGTAAGTTTTGGTGTATGTAAGGGCTGCTGAAGTGGAGAAACAAACCCACAGCCTTTAAATATATGCATTTTCACCCAGTTTTTTAAAGAATAAAATGTTGTATACATCAGTGTGAATGATATATGAACAAACCCCTCAGTAAAAACCTTCAGAATATAGAGAGGAATAAAACTGTAAGTTTTGTTGTATGTAAGTGCTGCTGAAGTGGAGAAACAAACCCACAGCCTTTAAATATATGCATTTTCACCCAGTTTTTTAAAGAATAAAATGTTGTATACATCAGTGTGAATGATATATGAACAAACCCCTCAGTAAAAACCTTCAGAATATAGAGAGGAATAAAACTGTAAGTTTTGTTGTATGTAAGTGCTGCTGAAGTGGAGAAAAAACTTTTAAAGACATGCATTGTAATTGAAATCTACCCAGGTGAAAAAAAGTACACTTCCATAATGCACTTAAAGTGCTCTATTTTTGCGCACTAATTTTGCACTTAATATACAACAAATTCTTCTTTAGTACTTCTTAAGATAATCTTAAGAACATCTAAGTGTACTCAACTGTGCTATTTTGAAATACCATGTATATGAACTAAAATGTGCTAAAAAAATGTGTTTAAAAACTGTATTTAGGTACTTTCATACAAAGATGGGTTCAAATTTACTACAAGTGGTAACTAAATACATTTTTTTAATACAGAGATAGTATGTTAAAAGCACATTTTAGTTCATATACATGGTGTCTCAAAATAGCACAGTTGACTACACTTAGATGTTCTTAAGATTATCTTAAGAAGTACTAAAGACTAATTATTAATATATTAAGTACAAAATTAGTGCGCAAAAATAGAGCACTTTAAGTACATTACGGAAGTGTACTTTTTTTTTCACCTGGGACATTATATTTTTAAATTGGGCTATAATGGTGCACAAATTTCACAGTTCAGTATGCACCTCAGTGTTCAGGTCACGGTTATCTTAAGAAGTACTGAAGACGAATTATTAATATATTGAGTACAAAATTAGTGAGTGAAAATAGAGCACTTTAAGTACATTATGGACGTGTACTTTTTTTCCACCAGGGTACAGACACAGACACAATAAAATAAACACTTAAATGTGTATTTTGGATGTTTTCTTTCCACTAGTCTGAAAGAAGACATGTTATGGAAGCAAAACCTCAAAATTTAGCAGTGCATGAAAAACAAACGTGGTTTTGCCTTAAACCTGGATTTCTTTGTGGGATTAGTACTTCATTCTCTCATAAAATATCTCTAAAACACAGTCTTGTATCTTGAGTTTCAAAGAGTTTTTTTTTGTTTCAGATTAATGTTTATGTCATTTTGGGTTGTTGGTTTGGGTTATGGATCAGAACTTTTGAAATCCCTATGAAGAAAATGAATAGGAAATGTACTTCCCGAACAAAAACCAATGGATAAGTGTGTGGCTGCTGTTGCGCCAGTGTCATGTGAGGAGCAAAATGCAGAAACGCAGTGAACATGCTGGAAGAGAGTGAGAGAGACAGAGAGGCCTTTGTTCGGCACTGTTGGATAATTTCTCGGACCTGCGGTGGGAGTTTGGAGAGCAGCTCTTTTCTCTCTTTCTCGTGGTCATGGTGCCGTCTCTGTCGGGAATGACCTGTGGCCAAATCCACCGTCACCGTGGAAACAGTGGGCATCTTCAAGTCTTTTGCGGAAGGCGGATCTTTTGCCTTCGCAGACTGAAAAAAAAAAAATCACAGGCAGAAAAACCATTAGATTAGCAGAAAGACACAGAAAAACAGGGTTTAAATTTAGTTTGCTAGATCAGGGGTTTTCCACAAGGAAGTGCTAGGGGTCTGTGGAAATGCTACAAGAAAAATAATGCAAAAAAAAAAAAGTAAATAAAAAATAAAATCGTAAAACCAAAGAAAAGACTAAGGATATGAATCACCTCTGTCTCCACTGACTAACCCCCACCCCCCCCCCCCCCTTACTCAAACTAAAAAAAAAAATCACAGGCAGAAAAACCATTAGATTAGCAGAAAGACACAGAAAAACAGGGTTTAAATTTAGTTTGCTAGATCAGGGGTTTTCCACAAGGAAGTGCTAGGGGTCTGTGGAAATGCTACAAGAAAAATAATGCAAAAAAAAAAAGTAAATAAATAAATAAAATCGTAAAACTAAGTAAATTATACAAAAAAGATGACAATAAAATAAAAACTTGATTAAAATAAATAAAAATACAAAAAAACGCATTGCACAATAATGAGTAGAAAAAAAGATATTACAATAAATGCAATTAAAAACAAATTTGATTAAATAAAAATTCGATTAAAATAAGTAAATAAATAATGCATCTAAGTACAGTACAATATTGAGTAGAAAAAAACAATCATGTTAATTAAAATAAAATAAATAAACTAAATTAAAACTAATAATATGAAAAACAGTACAGTACAATGACTAGAAAAACAATAACGCAACTTAATAAACACATAATAAAAATCAAAGTAAATACAATTAAATAAAAAGCAGATTAAAATAAGTAAATAAATCAATAATACATTGACAATAAAGTATAAGAATGAGTACAAAAAACAATAATGTAACTTTAAAAATATTAAATAAAAAGTAAATAATACAATTCAATTAAAATAAATAATTAAAACATCTAATAGTAAAGTATTTTAATGAGTACAAAAAAATAATGTAACTACATATTTTCTAATTAATATTCTAGACATCACACATTTCACAGTATAATATAAGCCTTTTAAATTTTAGGATGGGGTCCTTTGTCTTAACATGGATTAACCCAGGGTGACTAACTATACTAAGTAACTAAAAAAAATAATAAAATAAAGTAAATCTCTCTCTCTCTATATATATATATGACCATGGACCACAAAACCAGTCATAAGTGTCAATTTTTATAATATTAAATAATCTTTCCATTGATGTATGGTTTGTTAGGACAGGACAATATTTGGTCGAGATACAACTATTTGAAAATCTGGAATCTGAGGGTGCAAAAAAATCTAAATATTGAGAAAATCATCTTTAAAGTTGTCCAAATTAAGTTCTTAGCAATGCATATTACTAACAAAAAATTAAGTTTTATATCTTCATGGAACATGATCTTTACTTAATATCCTAATCATTTTTGGCATAAAAGAAAAATCAATAATTTTGACCCAT